CTGGAGAAACCAGGGAAGGCCTTATACGTAGAAAGCATGTGATTTGGCACTGCAGTATGGATTCTACCAGAGATCCCCATTTGAAACAAACAGTCTTTGGAGCTTACCAAAAGAATGCAGCCACTTGGAACCTTTAACCTGTGGTCACACACACTTTCAATCCACTTTCCAACTGGATTTTGCCAGTTCACACAGAAAATCCAGTTGGAAAGTGCACTGAAAGTGGATTGAAAATGGATTATTTTGTGTGTGTGATCACAGCCTTACAGTGCAATCCTTTGCAGAGGTAATCCACTCTAAGCCCTTCGATTACAATGGATTTAGACCGGTGTAACCCTGCATAGGACTGCACTGTTACTGTCATGCCACCTTCTTCAATATCGGAAGAAAACATTATGTGCTTCATAATTGTTGAGGGCTGAAGGGGGGGGGATTTAGTGTGCCCGCTACAGTATATTGAACACATAGCTGTAGCCCTACACACACTGTGGAATGACATTATGGAGATATACAGTGGGGTGGTGGTAGCTATTTTAAACTTAATCTGGACTTGTGAGCTCCTGGTCACAGCTTCCTTCAGGTTCACAAAATTAAATATTTTCAGCCTTTTTTTTTGTTGAGGACTTCCTTAGAAAGTGGAAATAGTAAGGTATTGGCGAGGAAGTTCAACTAGTTTGAGATCAAAGCCGAACTGGATTTATAAGGCATAAAAGGAGCAGGAAGTTCAGTAGGTGAATAAAATGGTGTTCTCAAAAAAGCGGTAAATGCTTTAAATGCCCTGGGACTCTGAGCAGTGAGAAGCTCTTGTATGTTCTGATGTCAGGATCATACAAGCCGTTCACTTATGAGAAATAAATGTTAGCATATTAAGTATTTGAAAAGAGAGGGACTTTTTGTTCTCCTAGTTTTTCTTTTGACAGGGATCCAGTGCTGCTTGATACACTTGGGTTACTTGGGTTAGGCTGCCAGTGTTGTCTTTCAAATAAAGCCCAAGTTCTAGAGTTGAGAGCAATCAATGCTTGCTAAAATTAGTTTACCTGGTGGGTCTCTCCAAGCTGTAATCAAACAAGGTAGAGAGATGTGTGTGTGAGAGAGGGAGAGAGAGAGATCTGTGCCTTCTAGGTGACATCTGAGGCTTTCTTAGACTGGTTTAACAGGAAGCTCCATCAAACAACAAAGGGATTCCTGAAGTTGTAGAGGAGTTTGTGTTTGCATGGGTCGGGGGAAGAGCTGAAGTCTGGCATTACAGCCCTGGAGGGTTTCTGAGCACAGGAAGTGCAGGTCAGCCGACTCTTCTGTGCACTGAAAATAGGGAATGAGGAAGAAGGTTGTTCTACTTATGAACAGTCATCCCCTGGCACTCTGAATCCCTTCTGTCCTAATGGATCAGTTCTGATAAGTGGGAAAGGCCATTCACTCACGATATAAAGTTGTATTCCAGGACCATTGTTAAGCCCTGAGTTTCCAGTCCAATATGGAAATAGCTAAGCGCCACTCATTAAATTAAGAGCTCCTGGGATCTTTCAGGCCTTGTAGTATTTGGTGAGTGTGGTGGATTCTGGGATTTGTGGCACAATCATGGCTCATGTTTGGTCTAACTGGCTCTGGCATTGGGGAAAACATCTGCTGTGACTGGGTTAAAGTATTTACTTCTCAGTGTTCTAGAATTTTAGCCATACAGCAAAGATAGCTGCCTCTGCTGCTGTTTGCTTTCTTCAGCAGCTTTCAAATTTTGGTGGTGTCTAGTGTGCTTGTGGTTTGGCAGTACTGACTGAAAGAGGGTAAGGATGTTGTCATGGATGTCAGTCTTTGGAGCATGGAAGGTATAGAAGTCACAATAGACGTGAAAGAGAATGCAATGTGGCTGTGTGCACAAAGCACCTGAATTTGCACCTGCATTACAACCTGACTTAATTTTACTTTCTTTCTCTTCCCATGTTTGTTGTAGTTCCTTCAGAAACAGGTAATTGACTTGGCAGTCTTCTCTTTCTGCACCTTGACTTAGCATAATGCTCTGTAAAAAAAAAAACACCAGCAAAACTCTTGTAGTATGTAATGGATGTATTTGTAATTTTCAGTTGCAGCTTTTTGGCACTAGAAAATCATGCATGCTGCAAATTGGTGATTCAGTACTGGGGTATTTTACTGAGCTTCTCTTTTGGGAGTGGATCTGGCCCTTGCACAAACTTCAGCTGTTCTTCTTCCCCCCCATCCCCGCCCCAGAGTCACAAGAAAATTGCCGTAAATCCATAGAGTAGCCAGGAGACTGGGATCTCTTTTATATGCCCCCCAAAAGGTGTAAGGGGGAGTGTGAGTAGATTACCCCTTTGGGCCCCATCTGAAGGAGGCAGATGCATGCTGCGTCCCCATAAGGGGGAGAATGAGCTTGCACAACAGTTGTCCTAGTGAAGGGGGTAGTGATCCTAGAGCAGTAGTTGTTATTTTATTTTTTATTTTTTAAATAATTTTTTATTGTTAAAAAAAACATAGCAATAAAAATTTTAACATTTTACATTTGTATCACATATATTTAAGACATATATATATATATATATATATATATAACCTGCCATTCAGTTCACTATTCTAGAGTTATTTTGAGCATGTAATACAAAGTACAGTACAGTAGAGTAGATAAAGTATAGTACAGATAAAATTAAGTCTAAAACCATATAGCAATTCCAAAGTTGTCTAAGGGTTAGGTCTGACTCTTTAGTTTCTGAATTTTAATTTTATTAAATAGGCAGTCTTCAATACTGTTTTGGTGGAAATGTCAAAATGACGAAATGTATTGTTCAGATTAGGATCAAAAGTAGATCAGCGATCCATACAGAGGGTTTTTTGGTATCACTTCAGCCTCTGCCATATAAGTAATGAGAGGATACCCAGTTGTTATTTTGGTTGAGCCACCCTCTGCTTCAGCCTGGCTCTTTTCAGCAGGTCATTTCTGATGGTAATATTTACCTTCATCCTTCCGGCGGTAGTTTGTGCTTTGGCGTTCTGTCTATCCTTAGATCTCAAGGTACATTCTCACAATCACTTAACATGAATTAGTTTACCCAGGGGTCATTTCGTAGAAAAAGAGGTGCAGGAGCTCATTAGCATGACTCATTAGCATAATTTATTTGCATATGCCACACCCCCTGGCATCACCGCAAGTGTGTCAGAAGGCGACACCCACTGCTCCAGGCTCTACTGGATGATCTTAAAGGTGCCACTGGACTGTGTTGGACCGGGGGGCGGGGGGGGGGGGAGCTCTGCAGCTTACCTGGCTGCTTCTTGCTCTGACTGAGGGCTGCTGGGAGCAGGGGGCGGGGCTTGTTGCATGTGCCCGCCCCCTGGGCTCTTTACTGCCGGAGCTCCGCTCCGTGCGCTCCTGCAGGGAATGACCCCTGAGTTTACCCCTTAACATCTTGGAATGCCCCTGCACTACAAACTAGGTGTTGAGAAGACTTATTCCATTCTTTGGGTGGGTGTTCCTGGGCCAAGTGGGGCTTCCAATCATTTGAGTGATTTGAGAATGGCACCTGACGGGTGATCGTTTTATTCTCTCTCCCCACCCCCACCCTTGGGTCTTTTAATGCAAAATACCTGAATCTCTATCTTGCATGTGTTGTTTAGAGGTGCCTTTTTTATTTTCAAATCACTGCTAAATTTTCTTTCGTGTATTTTCAGTGGAAACATTGGTGGTTCAGGTAGTTCTCAGGAAGAAAGCTGGGATGCAGATCCATTTGGTCTTCTTTATAGTTGGTTTCCACTTGAAGAATCAATTAACAGGACATGAAAGCTCTGACTCCTTCAGCACTTGAGTGACAGCTTTTACGCGTACACTGATTTATAGCACAGACAAAAACATTATCTCTTCTGCGGAAGTTCGATTATTTGGCCGTCAGAGAAACTTGTATGTCTGTTTCCCAGATTGTTTGTGAGCTGAAAGTAGGATCTTTTCGAATAAGATCTGGGTACATTATTTTCTTACAGGCGTTACTAGATGTGGGGTTTTGTTTCAAGCTCCCACCGAAAGAGAGAGTATGGATTATTCTTGGTACCACAGGACTCTCTTATGAGAGATTATACATGTGTGAAACCTGGAGTTCAGGTGTCCTTTAAGGTCCTTTCACAGACTTAATAACAGTACTTAACATTTGTAGAGCACTTTCTGTGTCCAAAGTGTTCTACAAATGTTATCTTGTAATCCTTAGCAGGCCGGTATCGTTTGCACATTGCTTCTAAGATAACTGTCATTTTCCTTCTAGCATAGTGTAAATGCTGTGTAAGAAGAAGTAGTGGGTTTGGAAGCTCCATCGTGCTGTAGTACAGTAGCTTGCCAGGGAGCCATGGAACTCTTCAGAAGTATAAGGGGCTCTTCCAAGAGAAGGTCAACAGTAGTTGATTTGATTTGATAAATTTCTACACCACCCTCTTGGCCGAGGCTGGCTCAGGGCGGCTTACATAAAACAACCTAAAGTTTTACAGTACACATAAAATAGATCATCAACAACAATTAAACAATTAAGCAATTCTAAAAGCATGTAAGCCATAAATATAATGAAGTGCTAGTATCAGTAATTTCAGTAATTTCACAGCGGTAGTTGTTACACAATTTTCTCTCTCCGCAGTCAGCTCTTTGGTCTTCTTAGGTCGTCTTAGATGGCTGGCTCAGGCTGTAGTTAGAAATCCCAGAGGGCGACAGGGCTCTCCTGTCTCAAGCTGTCAGTACTTAGTGGTGGCAGCGGCTCCGAAAGCCTGGCGGGAGAGCTCCGTTTTACAGGCCCTGCGGAACCGCCGAAGGGCCCGCAGGGCCCTGATCTCTTCTAGGAGCTCATTCCACCAGAATGGAGCGGCCACCGAAAAAGCCCTGGCCCTGGTTGTTGCTAGCCTGGCCTCCTTGAGACTTGGGAGGGCCAGCCGATCCTGGGCCCCTGATCTCAGTGCTCTCTGGGATACATGTGGGGAAAGGTGGCCCCTCAGGTATGTAGGTCCCTGGCCATAAAGGGCTTCAGGGAAGCGTGATTGTGCTTTAGGGCACAGCCTTAGATCAGTCAAGGCAACTCTAACATGGAAAAGGCTTGGATGGTGCCCTAGAGCACGCCCTAGAATGTCCTGCAGTGTTGCAAGGGTTATGTGAGAGAGGTGGGACCCCTGCAGCACTCCATAGTACTAGCACCAGGGGGATTGAGTAGTCCAGCAGGACCTTCTGGTACTGGTCTGCTGGGCCAGAGAGGAGATGCTTTAGGCTGGTCCTGCATTGGGCAGGGGTTTGGACTAGATGTTCTGTATGGCCCCTTCCAACTCTGTGATTCTATGAATCATCAGCCAGTATCCATTCTGGCCAACCCCATTCCATGCCAGCCAATCTATCCAGAAATGTACCATGGTTAATGGTACTGGAAAATGCTGAAAGATCCCAAAGAATTAGAATCAACAGGGTCATGGCATTTCCTTTGGCAAATGTCAGTACTCTGGGCACTCAAGCAATGTTCCCTCTAAGCTGTGGAGTCCTGTGAGCAAAAATTCTACTCTGAACAACCGGCATTAAAGTTGTGAGCAAGCGATTTGGCTGCTGCCATAAATCAGTTTGCTTTGGAGCCGTCCTTCCTGGGCTAAGACAAAAAATGTGTGAGCCGGAGGCTAAAAACCTGTGAGCTAGCTCACACTAACTCAGCTTAGAGGGAGCACTGCACTCAAGGCAGTTTCAGTCACAAAACAGGTCAGAAACCAGCCTGAAAGGGGCCCAGAGAAATGGTTTCATCCAAGGAAGCTGGCAGTGCAAGGCCACCACGACCACCAGCCGCTTGAGGACTCCATCCCAATAAGGGTTAGTAGACACCAGCTCATCATTGTTGGGCGCGTTTGGGTCCAGGGATAGCTGCTTCACGAAGGGGGTCTCATGACCAGTGTTCCCTCTAAGCTGAGTCAGTGTGAGCTAGCTCACAGTTTTTTAGCCTCCAGCTCACACATTTTTGTCTCAGCTCAGGAAGGATGGCTCCGGAGCAAACTCATTTATGCAGTGGAATTTTTGCTCACATGACTCCACAGCTTAGAGGGAGCATTGCTCATGACTGTCTCCTTCAGGAGAGTTTCAGTGGGTAGTAGCTGTGTGTGGTAGAACAGCAAAACTCAAGCCCACTGGCACCCTCAAGACAAACAAGATGGGGGGTATGAGCTCCCTAGAGCCAAAGCTTCCTGCTCTAGCCATCTACTTCCAGTTGGTCAGACTCACCTGAAGGCAGTATTAACTGTCCCCAAACCCAAGCTGGTTAACCTCCTGCATGGTGTTAAAAAGCCAAGAACAAAGGAAAGGTCTTATCTGGACACGGGAATGAGAGGTGTCACACTGACTGACTCTCAAATTAAGCAAAAGGAGAACCTACCTAAGAAGGAGAGCTTCAGTAGATAACTAGATTCGCATTTCTTAACAGCCCTTTCTTTCTGTCATTTTTTCCAACTGTAGATGCTTTTACAGATTCTGCAATCAGTGCTAAAGTGAATGGTGAGCACAAAGAGAAGGATCTTGAACCTTGGGATGGTGGAGAAGCTTCCACTGCAGAGGACCTTGAAGCATTAGAAACCGATGTTGTAAGTACATCACACCTTACACTGGTGGGGTGGGTGGAATTTGGAGCAGAAATGTCCAGGTAAAATGCCATGTTTGTTCTTTACCCCTACTGTCCCTGAAAAGTTGTTCCAGAGGATCCCCTCCCAAACACACGCACACACACTTGACTAGGATTGCATTTTCTGTCTTTGTCATAATTTCACTTGTAAGGAACTTTTGTTTTAAGTCAACACAGAATGTATTCAGGAAAGAGTAAACTGGGTAAAAATGGACTGTGTTGAACTTATGCTTTAAAATGAAGGAACCTGTGAAAAGAAAAAGTGTGGCTCCGGTAATGAAGCCTTCTCCAAATTTGAGAAAGTTACAATTTTGGACCTTCTGAGGGATTAGCTCTCCATAATGTTTGCACCCCATAAGAACTCTGCCACTCTTGTCACTCCTAAACTGGGCAGGAATTTTAAATCCATCTATTCCTATGTCAAATGCTACAGTCTCAGGTAACCACCCATGTGGGATTTTGCCTGCCACTAGCCACGATAAGGCAAACAGTTGTTGTGTTTACAGTGGCGAATCCTCTCTTAGTTATGGCTGTAGCTGGGGCGCATCAGTGCTTAGTAGAAAACGGCTCTTCTGTTCAACAATGTCCAGTATTTGCAGCTTCTGATCACAAAGTACAAAGACACTTCTTTAAACTTGAGGAAACGTGCTGCGTTTGTGCCATTTTGAGACCCAAGCTTTTCCCCCTGTAGTCTAATGGATGGGATCCCAATGACATGTTTCGATACAACGAAGAAAACTACGGCGTAGTGTCGACTTATGACAGCAGTTTATCTTCATATACGTAAGTTGCAATAAGTAGCTTTTGTATTTTACGCTGGTTGCTTCTGGCTCATCTTGCCCGTGCAGTGGTTCATCTGAACTGAATGCACCCCTGAAAATGGCGCATTCTGGCCCCTTTCAGGCTGCTGCGGGCCGATTCAGTTTCTCTGGTCTGAATCGGCTTGCCGCCAAATTGCCGCCAATCCTATGGGCCATTGAAATCAATGGTGAAAACATGGGGTATATTCTGGGGGCTGGAGGGGAGGGAGAGGCCCCAAACTCACAGGGTAGCTGCTGGAGCCTCTCCCCAAGATACACACCAAGTTTCAAGAACATTGGACCAGGGGGTCCAATTCTATGGGCCCCCAAACAGGTTGCCCCCATCCCCTCCTCTATGGTGCTAAAAAAGTTACTTTTCCCCCACCATAGAGAACAATGGAGGGGATGAGTGTGTCCTTAACAGCAGTGTGTGTATCAATATTTTGACTGACACAGCATCAAATGGGCTAGGATAGAAACTTTTCCATAATGAGATTTTTTTTAAAAAAAACAACAACCCCTGCAGGGAATTTGTGTATGGGTGAGCATTCAAAGATGGCCTCTCCCATCCATAGCTGGAAATAATGCAGTCTACCTTATTCCAGCACAGAGAGAGAGAGAGAAAGAGAGAGAGAGAGAGAGAGAGAGAGAGAAGGGGAGAGAGAGATTTGGCCTATTTTACTTAAAGCAGCAGAAGTAACTAGGCAGACAGCTGCTAACTGCTGGGTATTGCGGACCAGATTAAGTGCATTGTAGGTATCTAACTGCCCCAATAGTATACACAGTTGTCATTTAAAGTGTGTTCCATCAGTAATGGCATAGGAACATCTCTCTCTCTCTTTTTTTTACATTTTAAAGATTTTATTGAATTGAACAATTACATACATGTAGAACAAGACTTTGGAATAATAATTGTAACAAATTGTGTAGTCCGAATCAACAATAAATATATACAGAACTAGATTGATAGAGCGTTAAACTTACAACTTCAGAAACATATTACTAACACTCCAACTTGTCAGCAAATAATAACGTACTGCAACAAGTTAAGCACGGCATGTATTATGTATAACTTAATTAAATCATTAAGTAAATAAATATATAAATAAGTAAATGCAAATAAAAATACAAATTGTAAAAATAATTGTCACAAATCAAGAATCTAAATATCAGATCCATTTATGGAATTGGGTCCATTCAGAAGAGATATATTGCTGTTTAGATAGACAGTCAAGCACGATACCATTTTCCTGTAAACTTATCCTGGTTTGAGCTTTGAGACATATAGTTCAGTTTGTTTGTGACTGCATCCATTAGATAGTGATTCCATAATTTCCGGAACCATACCTTCACATTTGGTGCTTTAGTATCCTTCCAATAAGATGCTATTGCTGTTTTGGCAGTGTCCAACATAACTTCAATGGTATCTCTGTGTGATCTAGCAGTTAATTCCTGCGGCCAAGCATTTAAGAATAAAATCTCCGGTAAAAATGGGATTTGTACAGAGGTAACAGCCTGAATGATATCTAATATTTCCATCCAAAATTTCTTAATTTTTACACAACGCCACCAGCAGTGGGCAAAATCTCCTATTTGTTGGCATTCTTTTCAACACCGAGGGGATTTCGCAGGTGATATATGAGAGAGTTTATGAGGTGTTGCATACCATCTAGTCATTACCTTCAGATTTTGGAAACACACTGCTATGGTTTTAGTAGTGAAACTAGTAGAGTTCCGTAATCTATTCCAGAGTTCATTAGTAAGAATTTCTGTACAATCTCTCTGCCAAGCTGCTTGGTAAGGCAAAGACTTAGTACAAGAGTTTTGGAGTAGTAGTGAGTAGATCTTTGAGATAAGGCCCCTGTTTTGATTATTGAAATCCTGTATGGGAACACCTCTCTGAGACACAGCTGTGAATCATGGCTGGTCTTCTCCTGTAATGCAAAGATGTTAGGACACATTGGGTGTGCCTAAAGACATACCTCTGCAGGACATTCGAGATGTGGCCCCTGAAGCTCTGCCAGGTGCCTTTCTTGAGCTGAGTGTGCATTCCAGAATACCGAAATCTTCTGCATTGTACAGGAATTCCTTTGTAGACAGGTCATTATGAGCAGGACTTTCCAAAAATATGTGTGAAAATCACCCCATAATAAAGTTTTTTCTTCCATATGCCTTGAAATCAATCTTTTGGTCGTCTTCTCCTTTCCTCCTTTTAGGGTGCCCTTAGAAAGGGATAACTCAGAAGAGTTTTTAAAGCGGGAAGCCAGAGCAACGCAGTTAGCAGAAGAAATTGAATCAAGTGCTCAATACAAAGCTAGAGCTGCTCTGGAAAACGATGACCGGTCCGAGGAAGAAAAATACACAGCTGTCCAGAGAAACGCGAATGAGCGAGAGGGCCATAGTGTGACAAGCAGGTATCTGAGGATCGTTGCCCCAATGGACGTTAATGTTTGAGAAACATTTTGGGTTTTGCTGAGCTAAATCCCAACAGCTTGACTAATTTCTTTGCTGTCTGGGACTCAAAGTGCAGAAGTTGCTTACCTGCCTAAGCTTTTTCTATGAAAAGGTTTCTGTCTGTGAACTCACGGAGTTGTGTATTTGGGGCATTTGGTCATCTTCAGTTTGAATCCGGTCAGAGGACTGGCCTCCTGTGTTACAAGACAAGTTTCTCCATTGAACTATGATGGTCATTGATAAAAAAAAATATCACTGCATTTAAAATTACTAGAGTGTTTTTCTACAATGTCCAGATATTCCTTTTGGTTTTGCTTTGTCACGTATCTGAATAGTGATCAGTTGCCATCTAACTATGAGTTAATGTGATCTGACCTTAACGTGGTCTGACGTGATGCTTTAGATTGTGGTGGTCTGTTCTTAAGAGAATTAAAATTTATTGTATTTAGCCATAGGCCATTACAAACCAAAGATAACAGCAGAGAGGAATACTGTAAACATGAATAATGGCACAAAATTGAGTAAAATCCAAGATATTATAAAACCATAAAACCGAAGTTTATAAGCAATTGAATCAAAATGTACCCACTAAGATCAATATTAACTAGTTCCTATAAGAACAGCGTTGGCCCGTATTTTCTTTGCAGCCAAGGCAAATAGAGCCATTCTATAGAATATATTGGCATTGGAATCAGCTAACAAAAATAATCTTCTCAGAAGTCTGAATAAAAGCTTAAGTCTGATAAAATACCGGAGAGAAATTTTAACCTAGGTTGCGTATACATTGAGCATTTAAGGATATAACGGGGAAGATCCTCAATAACAGAAGAGCCACAGATACAAAAGCGTTGCTCCTTACGTGTTCTACTATAGCGGCCAGCTAATATGGTTCTTAAGAGTATTCCCTCCTGCTGCTCCACAATACCTTTTACCTATTTATTTATTTATTTCCATTTGTATCCCGCTCTTCCCTCCATAGCAGGCTCAGGACGGCTCACACAAAAAGTTAAAAAACAATAAAACAACAATTCATTACATACAAATTATCTCAAAATTTATACTCATTACAAATAGCAAATCAAATACAATTAAGAGCCGTTAAAGTGCTAGTGGTGGTAGCTATGGCCATGATGTAATAGATATAGCAAAAGCGTGGCCAGAGTATGTTACTATTGACACCGCAGGCAGTTGCTGTTTTCATAAGGGCCTTATCCCAGTTAATGTCGTTGGTAGCGGCTCTCTATAACCTTCAAAACTTGCCATTTAAATCTCTTAGTGCCCTTTTTTGGCTGCCGAGGGGTGGTGTGCTCTCCTGTAATGAAGCAATATAATGAATGTAAAATTGTTTGCTCTGTGCAGTTTGCAGCGATGATGCCTTGTGTTAAAAGATGCCATGTTCTGCCATCTCTGAGCATTTTAGTAGTTTCCCTGCCCATTGTCTTGAGCCAAAGGATAATGGAGCAGAGGGTATAGCTCTTGGCTAACGACGCCCTGTGCATTTCCCCTCTCTTTCAGGGAGACCAAGTACATTCCACCTGGACAACGGAGTAGAGAGACCCTGTCCTGGACACCTGGAAGGCAGAATTCCCCAAGGATGGGCCAATCGGGATCAGGGCCCCCCATTTCAAGGTCCGGGTCTCACTCATCGGACTACAGTTCTAGTTCTGGAGCAGACCAAAGAGTAGTCAATGGAGGCAAGTATCCGTTGTGACCTTAGAGGGCAAGCTGTTTTGCATGCGTGCTGTCAACGGGAGCAGTGCGATGGCTCTTCTTCAAAGTAACCTATTGTGACGCATCCCATCACTCTGAAGAGTAAGAACCGTGGCGGCTTAGGTAGACTTGTAACACTTGCAAGAAACAGTGCATGTTTTCGTGCCCTGCATAGATTGTGCCCACATCAGCACCATTTTTCTAGGGTCCCCCTCTTGGCAGCTGCCCTCTTCCTCTGCTGCGCCACCAGTATTGAATGATATAATGCTATCGTAATTACCATTTTTATAAAATGGCCTCTGGTGGTGGAGTGTGTGTGTGTGTGTGGGGGGGGGAACGCAGGGGAAATTGCGGCTGTCAGGGGCTGGCGGAGGAAAGTGTGCAGAAAACTCCTGTGTGGAAGCTCCGTTGTTAGTGTGTGTCCGTTTGCACTCTGTGGTGATGAAAGCAACATGGAGAATGCTTACTGCATGGGAGCAGGCTAAGTTGCCAGGGAATTTCTCTGTCACTCCCTGCTAGGCACAAAAGTGTAAATGGACCCGATACAAGGAGAAAAATAGCCCAGCAATCTTCTCTCCGGTATGATTGGTTTAAGTATTGTACCCGATGATACCACCTTGTTAATGCTACTGCCAGCTTGATTTGTCCTGGGAAACAATTAGTATTTATTTATTGCATAGTAAAGGATATACATTTTTTAAAATAAAACTTTATGAAGTGTGAGACTGGGTAGAGGAGAATGTGCAATCGTTTACGGTAAGTGGCATTTATAGGAGTTTTGAGTGGTAGCACATACACGCTTGGGCCCGTAAGTTAAAATCCAAGGTGTGGCATTCTCAGCTCTGCTGCTCACCATCTCCAATGAGGGAGCACTATTCAGAGGCTCAGCGGTGCTCCCCTTCCCGTATGCTAAGTATAATGTGCAATATCAGGGACATTGCACTTCCACAGGGGAAGCTATTTTGGGCTCGCAAATAATGCCCTCTAGGGGAACCTGCTGCTATAATCCGCAGGCAAATTGGACTAAATTGAAGCTTGTTTCCTGACTTCCTCTTTCTCCAAAATGATGAACAAATCCATTAGTCAGTCAGCACAGTGAACACAAATGCCATATGCTGAAGGTCGCCCTAGCCCTTCTTGTAAACGGGTTTCTGTGGTTTTTGAAATGCGTAGATAAGTGTTTACTATGTTTTTAGTGACATAGCCACTTTGCTATCCGCATCTGAATGGCTCCATTTGCCATATAGCCTGTATTGTCCAGTTGTGTGTTCCAGATGGGAGAGTGCAAACACGGTTTGCCCGCTAAGAAAAATATGGACTAAATGCTTAAGTTGGCACTGCTGGCACTGACATTCTGTGCAGCTCTGCTTGAGAGAGCATCTGCCATGTCAGAGGGTGCCCTGTGCGGTCTGATCAGGGCTTGCTGTCTGCTTTAAAATCCTGAATTTAAACCATTGGGGAGCTCAGTTGACAATTGTGATCAAATCAATTACGTTTTCTTCTCCAAAGAGGGTAGAATAACCCAGAATCCTACTTCTATCACGCTGCAGTCGTTCTAAGCCCTGTAGACGTCCCCCAAGGGTTTAAAACAAGTATGAGAAATCATTTGGGTCATTTTTAGTTTTTTCCCCCCCTCCTGTTTTTTTCCCCCCATAATTTTTTTCTTTAGTTTTTATGCTTTCCTTCATATCATTTGTTCTGTCAGGTGTTCCCTCCTGGCCATCGCCTTGCCCATCTCCTTCCTCTCGCCCACCTTCTCGCTACCAGTCAGCTCCCAACTCTCTTCCACCTCGGGCAGCCACCCCTACAAGGCGGCCCTCCAGGCCCCCGTCTCACCCCTCTGCTCATGGCTCTCCAGCGCCTGTCTCTACTATGCCTAAACGCATGTCTTCAGAAGGTACAAATACCACAATTTTGGTTCATGAGTTTTTGTTTATCTTTGTGTTCTTCCCCCACCTTCTCCTGTGAGTTAAGAGTTACAGAATTGTTTCCTCTTCATTATAGAACATATAATTTATGTGCTTTTTATATTTAAAAAATCCTTTTTGTTTTAGACGATTATTTCTAATTAACCTTTTTATTTTAAGGGAAAACTTTGCAGAAATCAGACAGACCCAAGTCCCTTTCCCGAAGCTTCGAAAAACAAGTTAAGCTTGTTTTTTTGGGACCCTCAAAAATTTCCCCGTCACAGTCCTTTGATATGGCATGGAGTCTACGCTGACAGAACACTTGGAGTCCCTTAACTGATTGTAATCCCTTACCCCACTGGTCGTAACCATGATTAAGAATTACTGCACATGGTTAAAGTCAATGCTCCCTCTAAGCTGTAGAGTCTTGTGAGCAAAAATTCTACTTTGTGAGCTACCGGCATTAAAGTTGTAAGTGAGCGATTTGGCTACTGCATAAATTAGTTTGCTCTGGAGCCTTCCTTCCTGAGCTAAGACAAAAATGTATGAGCCGGAGGCTAAAAAACTGTGAGCTCGCTCATACTAACTCAGCTTAGACAGAACACTGGTTAAAGATGACCAGGCCTTGCTTTTAGCTAGGGTTTGAAGTTGGTTTCTTAGTGAGCATTAATTAAGAGACAGTGTTACGTAGTACTTTTTGTGCTGGACTGTGACTAGGGAGTTCTACTGTCTACCTGTCCATTCCCATGAAGCTTACTGGGTGATCCGGGGCCAGGTGTATCCTGTCTCTCAACCCATAACCTGTCTGACAGAGATGCTGGGAGGATCGGGGAGGGGGGGGGGAATCATGTGCGTTGCTCTGAACTCCTAGAGCAGGGGGTGGTCAAACTTGCTCAATGTGAGAGCCACACAGAATAAACATCAGATGTTCGAGAGCCGCAAGACACGAACAAATATCACACACGCGTTTTTACTGGGAAATATGCAAATTTGCCTTTTGTTAACATTAAATGGGACTGCTAAAAAAATAAAAACAGACGGGGTAAAAACAGATATTGATTATGATATTTATTTGTCCAATTATATTTGTTTGTTTGCTAATGATATTCATTTGTCTAAGAGAGAGAGAAATAGAGAGAAAGGTGGAAAGAAAGAATGAAAGAGGTGGAAAGAAAGAATGAAAGAGAGAAACAAAGAAAGCAAATGGATGGAAGGCAGGCAGGCAGGCAGGCAGGCATGCCTTCCCTTCGCTTCCCCAGCTGCTCTGCTGGGAGCCGCACAATATGTGTGAAAGAGCCGTATGTGGCTCCCGAGCCACAGTTTGGCCACCCCTGTCCTAGAGGAAGGGCAAAATGAAACGCATAATAAGAGTGGTTGACATTACAGCCATTGTTAAGGTGCCCGGGGGGGGGGGGATTTCTGCATTCTGTGGAAGGCAGGGGAGGAGACACTGAGGAACTGGGAGTGCTGCGTCTGCATCGTCTTGCTTCCTTCTTGGTGCACAAATTAGTCAGAGCCCTCCAGATTGTGCCCATTACAGCCCATTCTCCTTCCTGGCAGCTGTGTTAGGGGAGAACAGTTAGGATCAATGTTCCCTGTGAGCTGAGTGAGTGTGAGCCAGTTCACAGTTTTTTAGCCTCCAGCTCACACATTTCTGTCTTCGCTCAGGAAGGATGGCTCCAGAGCCAACTAATTTATGCAGCAGCCCAATCGCTCGCTCATAACTTTCATGCCAGTGGCTCACAAAGTAGAATTTTTGCTCACAAGACTCCACAGCTTAGAGGGAGCCTTGGTTAGGATGCTTAATTGTGTTTGTAAGTCATTGTGACTCTCCCCGGCCTGTTCAGTAGAGTCATTAATTTCAATTCTGTCCTGGGGTTGTGGATGATATACAGTGATACCCTGTGCTGTGAACCTGAAACTAGCTAATATGAGTATTGTTTTTGATGAATATGGGAGATACAAAAATATGTTTTTGGGGGATGTGATTTCCTTGCTTTAAAGTACTGTGAAAATGTGTAATGCTTAAGACAGCTCTTGAAACAATTGCCGTGTAAAAACTCAGAAATCGCAAGAGTTGAAAATACACTACATTGAAATTTCTTCTTTGGTTTTTGCCTTAATTTTGCGTTTTTACCATCACATTTCCCAACTTTTCTTCCACGGGAATGATTAGAATCTTCCACCCCAAAACACACAGATCAGAATTTTGTGAACTCTTTGAAAGTCTGTGGGCCACAGAAGCTAAGATGAGGTCTTCTTCTGTGTTTTTAAGGGACTGAGAGTGAACATAAGAACATAAGAGAAGCCAGTGTTGGATCAGGCCAATGGCCCATCTAGTCCAACACTCTGTGTCACACAGTGGCCAAAAATACCAGGTGCCATCAGGAGGTTTAGCAGTGGAGCCAGGACACTAGAAGCCCTCCCACTGTTGCCCCCCCCCCCCAAGCACCAAGAATACAGAGCATCACCTGCCCCAACATGAGAGTTCCTATAAGAACATAAGAGAAACCAATGTTGGATCAGGCCAATGGCCCATCCAGTCCAACACTCTGTGTCACACAGTGGCAAAAAAGCCCAAGTGCCATCAGGAGGTCCAGCAGGGGAGCCAGGACACTAGAAGCCCTCCCACTGTTGCCGCCCCCCCCAAGCACCAAGAATACAGAGCATCTCTTGCCCCAGACTGAGAGTTCCCATCTATACCTTGTAGCTAATAGCCACTGGTGGACCTCTGCTTGCTAAGACCCATATTAAAGAAGAAGAAAATGTTATGAGAAATCAAATATAGGTAGCATTTAGATACTGTTTTGTCAATGGGGTTTAACTGGGGGGGGGGGAAGCTTTTGTGTGATATTCACAGTTTAGGGTATGTGTGTGCATGTGTGCTCCTTTTTCCAGGCCCTCCACGGATGTCTCCTAAGGCACAAAGGCACCCTCGAGGGCACAGAGTCTCTACGGGTAGGGGTACAATTTCAAGTGGCTTAGAATTTGTCTCTCACAATGTGCCCGGGGAAGCTGCTGCTCCTGCGTCAACAAGAGGCAGCCCTTCAGGCGGGACGTGGTCGTCAGTCGTCAGCGGAGGTAAGTAAGGCCCAGCTTCCTGCAGAAAGCGACCTTTTGCTTATTTTGGTGAGATTGGGGTTAGATTCCTAGGCAGTGACGGTTGAGGACGCAAGTCCTCTGAGGAAAATTACATTGTGGGTAAAGAGCCTCTTGCTGAGGGTAAAAGAGGAGAGCGCAAAAGTCGGCTTGAAACTCAGCATCAAAAAAACGAAGATCATGACATCCGGCCCCATCACTCCTTGGCAAACAGAAGGGGAAGTTGTGGAAGCAGTGACAGAATTCATGTTCCCAGTATCCAAGATCACTGCAGCCATGAAATTAAAAGACGCCTGCTCCTTGGGCGGAAAGTGATGGAAAACCCAGACAGCATAATAAAAAGTAGAGTCAAAGTATGGTCAAAGCAATGGCATTCCAAGTAGTAATGTAAGGCTGTGAGAGTTGGACCATAAGGAAGGCCGAGCGCCGAAGAATAGATGCTTCCGAATTATGGTGCTGGAGAAGACTCTTGAGAGTCCCTTGGACTGCCAGGAGATCAAATCAGTCAGTCCTAAAAGAAATCAACCCTGATTGTTCCCTGGAAGGCCAGATGCCGAAGCTGAAGCTCAAATACTTTGGCCACCACATGAGAGGGGAGCACTCACTGGAGAAGACCCTGATGCTGGGAAAGATTGAAGGTCAAAGAAGACGGGGACGGCAAAGGATGAGATGGTTAGACAGTGTCATCGATGCAACGAACATGAAATTGAGCAAACTCCAGAGCACGATGGAAGACAGGCGGGCCTGGCGTGATGTGGTCCACGGGGTCACAAGGAGTCTGACTTGAGTGTGCGACTGAACAACAACAACAAATGTGTGTTGGTTAATTCTTTTCCCTTATTTCACCCGCCTAGAAACCAGATGACGATTAAGAGTGGCAGAGCTAGATTATCACTTAGAGCAGCGAGGGCACTGTTTCTCTCATCTGTCTGGGCAGACAGTCTTCACCTCTGGATTACATCCCTGTCAGAAATGTGCAGCTATGTCAATTCCGCGTGATCTGGAACCGCCAGAGCAATGCTCTGGCACTCGCCCCCGAATTCCTTGGAAACCGTGGCATTTGGGTGCAAGTACCAGAACGTTGCCCCGGGCACAATGCTAGCTCTTCCATGTCTCATCAGGAATGACATCATCATACTGGGACGACGAGCACTGCCCCCCATTTGGCTGGCCCATTTCTGCCTGTCGACTAGCTGAGTGTCAGTGGGCCGGTGGCCAAAATTGCGGAAAGTTTGTCCATCATAAATGGGCACCTGGCAAGCCCTGGCTCTGAGGTGCTGAACACCAAAGAGACCTTCTCTGCCCCCTCCTCTGTTTTCTCTGCTCTGCTTCCCTCTTCTGGGAAGGATGAAGTTATGCCTGTTGGCTGCTACAGGAAAGGGCTGCCCTCTACCCAGTGCTGCTCTAGATGGTCCCCTAGGGTTGCTTCATGTTAAGGCGAGTCTGTTCCCTGTGGGGATTTTTTTTAAAGGAATCGCAACACTGGAGATGGCCCCCTTGGCTGGAATGATGTACCCCCCAACCCTCTTTTCAGTGTATGGGCCATGCCATTCGTCTGAAGGATACAGTGGCAGAAGCCGGCAATGTCATATGTATCTAGCTAATCTTCAAAAACCCATGGCCGTAGCCCAGAAAATGTTTAGCTCTGGGGGAATCCCAGCTACAGAGCTCAGCTCGATTGATTGATTGAATTACTTTAAATTTCTGTATAATTATATAAACTGTGCCAAAGTTGAATGGGAAAAAGGAATGAGGCCAGGAGCCTGATTGGTTGGCACTTTCTGCCGGTGAGAGGGAGGAGAACCTCTTATCGACGCAGTTCTGCAATGTCTCTTGGTCTTTCGTAGTGGCAGCTGGGTTTTCTGTGCCGCGTACTGGGAGTCTTGTTTTTTTTTTTTTAATGTCCTGGTTTCCCTCTCCCCCCCCCCTCGTTACACCCTATTCTAATTTGAGTTAGCCAAGAGAGTGTGGGGAACCTCTGAGGCATGTGCCACGCAGCCAAGTGGCATAGGTTGCTACCAGTGTTCCCTCTAAGCTGAGTTAGTGTGAGCTAGCTCACAGTTTCTTAGCCTCCGGCTCACACAATTTTGCCTTAGCTCAGGAAAGATGGCTCCAGAGCAAATTAATCTTTGCAGTAGCCAGATCGCTCCCTCACAACTTTAATGCCAGTAGCTCACAAAGTATAATTTTTGCTCACATGACTCCACAGCTTAGAGGGAGCCTTGGTTGCTACCCAAACCTGGGATTGTGGGTTGTTTTTTTCTCATGACACGGCTGCTGGGGTGGAAGATCACTATATTCAATAAGGTTGCCAACAGGCCTGGAGAAGCATGCCCTGTGCCTTTAATAGAGTCTCAGTGTGTCGAAATGGGCAACATAGCATGGAGGTAAATAATATCCCATTAAGGCTCGATTAAAGAAGAAGAAGAAGAAGGTGCTGCTGAGTTGCAGCCAACTCAACGGTGATCCCACCTGTGGGGTCTTCCAAGGCAAGAGATGAGCAGTGATGGTTTGCCGTTGCCTTCCTTTGCGTAGCAACTCCAGGTTCCTTGGTGGTCTCCCATCGAAGTCCTGGCTGCCCCCCAACCCTATTTGGGCTGCTAAACTTCAATTAAAGGAACAACATTTTTTTCTCCAGACCGTTGAAAATCCAGTGGAATGTTTCCCACTGGCAGCAGCTATATCCCTTCCCCCCCCCCCTTCATTTGGAGCTGTATTGCGTACCTGTCCTTGGCTGCATGCTATAGATGTGTGTGAACTGCTAGGCTGGATTCCTGGAGAGCTCCGTGGTGCAAGTGGGGATGGCTAGCTGTGAGAGCAACGGAATGTTCGCTGGGCTATGAATAAAGTCTCCACAATTTCTGCTTCGGCGCAATCAGTTACTTAAACGAGGGATTCTTTGGGCTGCGAGCTGGAGTTCCTTAAGGTTTCCCTTGCTCGAAAGCCAGTCGAGTCCGACTCTAGGGTTGCGGTGCTCATCTCCGTTTCAAAGCCGAAGAGCCAGCGCTGTCCGAAGATGTTTCCGTGGTCATGTGGTCGGCATGTTCCTTACTTCATATGAAACAGTTGTTGCTAGGGTGGAGAGAGGTGCCATATCACAGAAATTGAGAATTTCATTGGTGGGCTTCTCTTAACCATTTTATAAGCTCAGTGTAGATATTTATTTATTTATTTATTTATTTATTTATTTATTGGGTTTTTACCCCACCCTCCCAGCCAAAGCCGGCTCTGGGCGGCTGACATAAAAACAGTACATAGTTTACAATAAAACGTAACTAATTTTGAATTAAAACAATTGTAAAATCATTTAAACGATACAACTCAGTAAAGTGCTAAAAACGGTAATTCCCGATGGCTGTGATGACACAATCCACTCTTCTTATTGTTGGTTCCTCGATCTTCTTGCAGCTCCCCTTCTGGTGACTAAGATCAACTGTCATTAAATGTTCTGGGAGACAAGGGCTCTCTCACCGTCAGCTTTCAGTTGTTAGTTGTTAATGGTGGTGGTTAGCGGTGGCGGCGGCTCCCAAAGGCCTGGCGGGAGAGCTCCGTTTTGCAGGCCCCGCGGAACTGCACAAGGTCCCGCGGAACTGCACAAGGTCCCGCAGGGCCCTGATCTCTGGGAGCTCGTTCCACCAGAGTGGAGCTGCCACCAAGAAGGCCCTGGCCCTCATTGTCGCCAGCCTGGCCTCCTTAAAACTCCATGTAAAAAAATATGGTATTAGATGACAGTTTTATTAGTGCCAAACAGCTGTATAGTATTATGGTAGAATAACTTTCCCCCCTCCCCCTTGGTGTTCCCAGCTCCTAGGTTATCTCCTAAAGCACACAGACCTCGGTCTCCACGGCAAAGCAGTATTGGAGGTGTGCCCTCTGGGCCAGCCCTCTCCTCTCCCCAAACTGGCTCTACTCCGGCAGAGTCTGTAGCCTCTCCTGTCCCGGCTGCTTCTCCTACCCCTGCCAGTCCTGCATCCAATCAAGCAGATACCCCGTCTGGTGAAGGTAAAAAATAATAATCTATTATTTCACCCTGTTCCGAGCTTGAGTTAGAATTTCAAAAACATGCAGTGATCTAAAAATTGCCTTTGTGTTGAAATGCTTGGGGAACAATTATCCACCCACACGTTTATTTTTATGCCTTTGGGTTTGCGCATCATTGTGCAGTCCGCTTTCTCTGTCTTCGTACAGAACCCTTTGGGGAGGTCGCTGATGGCTCTGCGGGCATCCATGTAATTTTCTGAATGGCTGCTAAAAATTGTATTTCCCTATTCTGTTGTCGCAAATGTTTAATGACCAGGAAATGGTTGTTTGTCATTTTTCTTTTTTTGCCACTAAGTCTAAGCTTCTTTTGAATGACAGACTAGAATTCTAACACTTCAACATCTTAGTGTTTTTCATGCTGAAATGATGAAATGTGGAAAGCGGGTAAGATATCTGTGCAATTAAAAAGGCATAGACAATCCTAATACATCACATTTCCTAGAAAAATGGCTTATATTCTTACTGTGTTGTGCATTTGGTTGAAAGCCTGTAGCTACAGAGTCCCTCTAGGTTCAGTGCATATTAGGGGAAAAAACTGAGATGATAGGATGGCTGCACAGGAGGTCTTTTTGTTTTAATAGCCGACAATCTACTACTGTGGTAACACAATATAATTGAAATCTTTCTCCCCCCCCCCTTCATCATGAAACAATGATACATGCATTCAAATTCTAGCACCTGCCTTGTTTTCTTAGCCCCTATTGTTTTGTAAACCTCTCAAAAAATCAAATAGTATTATTGTTTAAAAATCAGATTGCCTTCTTGGAAGATTGAAAATTAATTTAATTTGCAGGTCCTATTAACAAAATATGTGGCATGCGAATAACTCTGTTGTGCTGGAAGTCTCCCTTGTCCCAGAATGTCATTTTCTCTTCCAGAAGTGGGAACGGAGTAGGATAATTATATATTCACTTGTAGGATTTCACATGAAAATATTCAAGTTTCTCCTCCCTGCTTCCTTGTCGTACTTCTCTGATGCGCTGGAGTTCTATACGTCAAATAGATTGCTTGTTTTGTATGCAACTAATAGTGTGTTGACTTCTCTTCTTAGCTAAAGATTCCAGGCTTCAAGATCAGAGGCAGAATTCTTCTCCTGCCGGAAACAAAGAAAACCTGAAGCCAAGTGAAATGTCTCCTAATTTTAGCAAACCTGAATGCAAAGGTAGGAATTCCTGATGTTGCGTGCCGTGGACTTTTGAGCACCTGTGGGGGCTGTAAATTACAAAAGCTTATTGTGTGACAGTCCTGTTGACATCAGTGATGACATGTGCGGTGCTGCGTCAGACTAGAAGAATTGCAGAAGTGGTGCATTTTCTTTGTGGGGGGAAAAGACAGGGGGCCACTTTCAATGTGCAGCAGAGGGAAATGTTTGTTCCTTCAGGTGGTCCTGAGAATTAACTTCTGGAATGCACGTGTGCTACTCATAGCTTTACTTTGCTAATCTTATTTGTACTCTTGTACCTTTTAAGCCCCCTTGGAGCGATATGTAGCGGTTAAAGAACATAAGAACATAAGAGATGCCAATGTTGGATCAGGCCAAAGGCCCATCCAGTCCAACACTCTGTATCACACAGTGGCCAGAAATACCAGGTGCCATCAGGAGGTCCACCAGTGGGGCGAGGACATTAGAAGCCCTCCCACTGTTGACCCCCCCCCCAAGCACCAAGAAGACAGAGTATCCCTTGCCCCAGAGTCCCTATCTATACCTTGTGGCTAATACCCACTGATGGACCTCTGCTCCAGATGCTTATCTAATTCCCTTTTGAAGCCGTCCATGCTTGTAGCCGCCACCACTTCCTGTGGCAGTGAATTTTTAGAGGCTCATGAATTTTAGTTTTAGTGGCTCATGCATTTTTCAGGAATCTGTTTTGAACTGGAGAAGTATTTCATGTGCACTAATGTGCTTGCGGATGGCCTGTTAAACCGTGAACAGTTGTCTGTGTCCTGCAGAATTCCTTGCTTTCCAGTTTGTGGATGGCACAGCACCAGGGTCTGTGTGTGACCCTTTCCCATCCCAGGGCACTGCCTCTCTAGATATTAGTGTGTGTGTGTGTGGTCATGTGCACACAATGGTTGTATGAACATCTGCACTAGCTCTCCCTTCCTAAACTGGGCTTCTTGAAAGGGTGGTCTGTCTTTCATACTCTGCCCTTGTGGAATCTTATTCAGAAGGCACTTCTGAAAATTCCGGGCAGGTGAAAAAGGTAGCAGGAGTTGGCTGCTTTCTCCAAGAGGAAATGAATATGTCATTTAAGCATTTTTATCCCACTTCTCAACCAGAATACTGATCCCTTGTGGAGCCGCATATGGTATTATTTGTGTCTGCTAACAACTTCAGAATGTAAGAAATGTCCTGTTGGATCAGACAGCATCCTGTTTCACACAGTGGTCAGCCAGTTGCCGTAGAGTGCTACCAGACAGGGCTTAGAGCTCAGCGCCTTCCCCTAATGCAGGGGTGGGCAAACGAGCTCAGCGTAAGAGCCACACAGAATAAATGTCAGATGTCTGAGAGTCGCAAAACATGGAAGAAATATCACATGCACGTTTTTATTTAAAATATGCAAATTTGCTTTTTATTAACATTAAATGAAACTGCCAAAAATAAAAACAAAAGGGGGTAAAAACAGATATTGATAATGATATTTATTTGTCCAATGATATTTATTTGTTTGCTAATGATATTTGTCTGAGAGAGAGAGGTGGAAAGAATAAAAGAGGTGGGGGGAGAGAGAGAGAGAAACAAAGAAAGCAAATAGACAGGAGGGGGGGAGGGAGAAAAAGCCCGCCTCCCCTTCGCTTCCCCAACTGCCCTGTCGGGAGCCGCACAATAGGTGTGAAAGAGCCGCATGTGGCTCCTGATGCCCTAATGGTTGTCTCCTAGCATTATTTAGTCATCATGGCTAGTTGCCGTTGTTGGCCCTGTCGTCCATGCAGTTGCCTAATCCTGTCTTGAAGCCACCTGTGCTAGTGGCCATCATTAACTTCCACTGACAGTGAGTTTCACAGTTTAATTACTTGCTGCGTGAAGAAATATTTCCTTTGGTCTGTCCGGAATCTGTTGTCTGTCAGCTTTCTTGGGTGATCCAAGCAGTCGGCCTGTTCTGCGACATTAGATTAAAGGCTCGAGTCTGCAGAAGCTTATGTTGCAACGCATGTCTTTTAGGTGCCGTAGAGATCTCGTTTTTGTTGACACAAACATGACATGGCTATCCCACCACCGGAACCCACTAGTTTTGTGCCAATTTTGTTCATGCTCAGCTGAACCAAATGGTGGTGGTGGTGGGGGTTTATTACACAGAACAGTCAGTGTGCCTGATGCTTTACAGAGCATACAGTGTGAAATCTGAGGCAAGGAAGAGGACAGAGAGGAGAGAGAAGACAGAGGCGGGTAGAAGAATCTGTGTACATGGGCTTACTTCCTGTTGGGGAAGGGGAGCTTAGGGGTTGTATGAAAGTTTCTGAGTGTTTAGTGGGCTGCGCGTCTTCAGGAAAACATCCTCTAGTGCCCAAAACATTTTGCACCCCATCTGAAAGAAGATGAGGAAGAAGAACTTGACCTGGGTGTTGACAGCTGGCTTGGAGAGAAATGTCCTGTCTTTCAAACAGAGGCTTAATGTGTGGAAACGGACTGTTGAAGCTTTTTTTGGGCCTAATGTTACTTGATTTTAAAATGACCCAGTCATCCTTTGTTAAAGGGACAGGACATTTTTCTCCGGCTAGTTAGCATCATGAAACTTCCTGAATGTGATAGAGGGGGAAAATGTATTTGGGATGGGTGAGTCTGGGCTCCTTCGTTTTGGGGCTGGCTCCAAAGAGAAAGATGTCAAGACCTGGTACAGAACATGAGCTGATTCAGTGTATTTATTTTGACCTGTGTTTAGAAAACATTTTTAAAGTGCCCCATGTAGATTTTATGTCCCAATAGCATATACTTGAACTAAATTATTTGATTAGGGAAAGCTTGAACTGTGTGGTTTAAATGTTCAAACAAATTCAAAGTTTTAGATGTGAATCAAATTTTACCAGTATTCTAGTAAACATAGAGAGTTATAGCATGGTAAAGGTAAAGGTTTCCCTTGCTCAAAAGCCAGTCGAATCCGACTCTAGGGATGCGGTGCTCATCTCCGTTTCCAAGCCGAAGAGCCAGCACTGTCCGAAGACGTTTCCGTGGTCATGTGGCTGGCATGGCTAGACGCCAAGGCGCACTATGTTGTTTAAATTTAAGAACTACCCAAAGGCTCTAACAAAACCTAAAAGAACTGTGCATAGTACGTCGTGGATGTTGCTGCCCACTTATCTAGTTCAGCAGCATTTATCACTCTTCCCTAGCGTGGACCGTCTCCACTCCTCCTATCTGAAGCACCTTTCCAGAGAGTGGCACTGTTCCTCAGCATCTCACGTCACAGACTCAGGGCAGCTCTTCATTTCTCCAAGGACACGTTGTCATTTAAAAAATATATATTAAGGACACGTTGTCATTTAAAAAATATATATTAAATGCCATGAGTTTAATATTCCTTAAGTTTATCTGATGACGATGGTCTTGGCATTGGGAAACTGCTGCCAGAAGAGAGGCCAGGCTTGCCTTCCCATTAGAGCAGGAACCTTTGCTGCCTTATTTGCTTTGGAAGGATAATCTGAGAAATGCTTGCGGGGCGGCCAGTTTGGTGTAGTGGTCGGGAGCGCAGACTCTGATCTGGGAGAGCCAGGTTTGATTCCCCACTCCTCCACATGCAGCTGCTGGAGTGACCTTGGGTCAGTCACAAGTTGTCTCAAGAGCTGTTCTCTCATGAGCAGTCCTTCAAAGAGCTCCCTCAGCCCCACCTACTTCACAGGGTGTCTATTGTGGGGAGGGGAACGGAAAGGAGATTATAAGCCACTCTGAGGCTCCGAATGAAGGGCAGGGTATAAACCCAATCTCTTCTTCTTCTTAAAGTTCTCAGTCTGCTCAGCTTGGGAGCCTTTCTCTTGTGACTTGGTCCGTGGCTGTAGACCAAGGGGGAGGGTCCCCAATGTTTTTGAGCTTGTGGGCACTTTTGGAATTCTGACACCACGTGGGTGGGTTCAACCACAAAATGGCTGCCATGGGAGAGAAGAGAAGAAGAAAAGAGATTGGATTTATACCCCGACCATCACTACCCAAAATTGTCTCAGAGCGGCTTACAAACTCCTTTCCCTTCCCCTCCCCACAACAGACACCCTGGGAGGTCGGTGAGGCCGAGAGAGCTCTGACAGAAACTGCTTTTTTTCAAGAACAGCTCTTATCAGAACTACGGCTTGCCCGAGGTCATCCAGCAGCTGCATGTGGAGGAGTGGGGAATCAAACCCGGTTCTCCCAGATTAGAGTCCGCGCACTTAACCACTACACCAAACTGGAGGAGGGGCCACACACACAGAGGGGCACCCAAGTGCAGGGGAGAAGAGGGGCAGTTAAAAATTACACTGGGAAAACAGGTTCAATGGCCATCTGACAGCAATGCGGATTCTGTGAACTCAGGCAGATTGTGAGAGGGAGGGCAGGAAGGGTTGCCCCCGTGCTTAGTTCCTGTGGCCCTTTCTTACACGCCCAGGGAAATGCTGATTGCCCCTTTGGGGTCAGGAAGCAATCCGGGAGGGGTTTTTGTTATCTTCTCGGCATGGAACAGGGGTCACTGTAGGTGTGGAGGGGGAGGTAATTGTGATTTTCCTGCATTGTGCAGGGTGTTGGACTAGATGACCCTGGAGGTCCCTTCCAACTCTGTGGTTCTATGAAAAAGGAGTGTCGAGAGCAGGGCTTTTTTTGTAGAAAAGGCCCAGCAGGAACTCATTAGCATAATAGGCCATACCCCTGACAGCACAGCTCATTAACATATTAGGCCACACCCCGTGCCTTCCCTGGCTTGCCTGGGCACCCTATGGCTGCAGGGAGCACGGGCAAGCCCCCCCTTGAAGAGAAGGGAAAGCAGTTTGGACTACCTTCCCTTGGCTTGCCTGGGAGCCCCGCCGCTGCGGAGAGCCCGAGCAAGCCGGCCCTTCAACAGGCATGTTTAAATGCCTCCCCAATCCTTCCAGGGGCCCCCCTGGCCCACCCGCCTCGGAGTCGTCAGGGGGGTCGTTCTCCAGGCCTTCCTTCTGTAGCCACACACACAGAGGTTTTGGCTGTAGTGGGCGTGGCCAACTCTGAAGCCAGCCGGAACTCCGTTCCTGTGCGTTCCTGCCCAAAAATAGCCCTGGTAGAGAGAATAAAACAAATGCCATGGTGGCAGCTGCCACTGAAACAGTATTATTTTAATCTGCATATCTACTGAGATCTTCAGTGGCAAATCAGAAGCTCCGCTGAGCAAAAGCCCCACCCACTTTCTTTTTTAAAAAACCACAAACCTTGTTGGGCACCAGGAAAGGTTGCCAACAGCCACCACACTTGGGGGTCCCTGCTGTAGAGTATTCAGTGCAAAGAGGCTCGATAATTCAGCACGATATGCCTTGTTCACTGAGTTGGTTTTTGTGTTTTTTGGAAGACGATAGAGATTTGGGAAATATATCACCCCCCTACTTCCGTGCACACAATGGTGGTGGTGGGGAATGGGAAACTAGGCCAGTGCTTCTATGGTTCCAGCTGCTTGACCCTTCTGGGTCTCTTGGGTTGTGTGACTGGGTTACAGTCTCCAGTGAATGTTTGTATCTTTTGCGCCCTCTTGAGTTAGGCAGTGATCCAGAATCTGGGTTTGGGGGCTTTCCTGTTAGAACCTTGGCTGGCTTTTAATTTGAACCTTGTTCTACCCCCCCCCCCCTGCTAAATGTGCTGGTGCCGCGTCTGCTTTTAATTCTGATACAATCTATGTTTATCTGACAGGGGTGTCTCCAGCTGTTTTAGAACATAGAAAACAGATTGATGATTTAAAGAAATTCAAGAATGACTTTAGGGTAAGTGCCTTTCCCCCCTTTGCCGTGGAGGACGGTGATTGCAGATCAGGCTGTATAAATGCATCCCTCTTCCATCTTATATGTGTAAGATTTGAATGCCTGCCACGCTGGGAGCATAATTCTGCTAGAGTGAAAGACCTTTTGTGTCCATTTCATTTTGGAGGAGAGAGTTGGGTGCACATGTACCACCCACTGAAATCAGTAGGGCTCAAGAAAGCTTCGTTTGGCTCTGCTGTGCCTGGCCCGAGGGAGGCCAGGTTAGCTGCCACGAGGGTCGGGGCCTCCCTGGTGGAACGAGCTCCCGAAGGAGATCAGGGCCCTGCGGGACCTCTCACAGTTCCGCAGGCCCTGCAAGACGGAGCTCTTCCGCCAGGCATTCAATTAGGGGCCGCCGCTGTTGGATCGCCCGACCATTGCAGCACCTGGCCCATGTTTTTCCATCGAGTTGTTGCCATAAAGAAACCACGAGCAGAAGAACATCTTGGAACATCTGAGAAACAGAAATCCATTGAAAGTGTGTCATCTCAGTGAATTTTAATTGCCACCAGCACTTTACGCTTCTTGATTTGTAGTGTTTTAATGATGATGTTTTAAGCTGTATACATGTCGTGTTGGAGCTGCCCTGAGCCTGCTTGCAGGGAGGGTGGGGTACAAATTTGATAATAAAAAAATCAAATTAAAAAAAATGATGACCTTACTGTTTAAATTCCATTAAAAGGGCTTCCAGGCTTCACGTATGGCAGCAGGGATAGGAAGGGCATCCAATACTCCCTGTAAGCCGTGGAGTCCTGTGAGCAAAAATTCGACTTTGTGAGCGACTGGCATTAATGTTGTGAGCGAGCGATTTTGCTGCTGCATGAATTACTTTGCCGTGGAGCCCTCCTTCCTGAGCTGAGACAAAAATCTGTGAGCCGGAGGCCAAAGAACTGTGAGCTAGCTCGCACCAACTCAGCTTAGAGGGAACACCGAGGGCATCCCCACACACCTATTTGCATTCCTGTTGTTGGCCCTACGACAGAAGGGGGCAAAGAGCAGCCGGTGGGTGGCATCCACTCTGGGACACCTCTTTGTCTGCTGCTGGAGCTATATCCTGCCGAGGGTGGTCGGGTGCGCCGACAGCCAAGCGTGGCTTGAGGGGGGGGGGGGAGGCAGGCTCTTGGACCTTAATAGCTGGCCGAAATGTAATTGTAGAGAGCTGCTTCCCTTACTGTGATTGCGTTCACTGGTGGGGAAGAGGCTGCCTGTTATGCAGTTGTCAAAACAAGTAATCGCTTTCCCCCCATTCTTGGCAGGGCTCCTCTCTCTGTGGCCCTTGGACCAAGAGCTCACCCGTTCCCTCCAGCGTGATTTTAATTTGCACTGTCCTTGATTTTGCCGCTAGGTTTGGTTGCATGGTTTTAAAATAATTTTGACGTGCTCAGAAATGTTCATTTTTCAAGGCACACCTGAAGTGCCTGAGCATAGTCGAGTCCTACAAAACCAGTCCTGGTGGCTTTAAGGCCGGTTCCGCCCAGTGAGGCAGCAGACCCAGGTTTGACACCGAAGAGGGAGCTGCATCATCCTGCCTCTCTTGAGTGTGCCTGCATGACACTTGTCTGTTGGCCCTCTCTGTCTCAATCACATTTTTTGGGAGCATGCTTGTGGTCCGGTCCCCTCTAAGCTGAGTTAGTGTGAGTTAAGTTCACAGTTTTTTTAGCCTCCAGCACACGCATCTTTGTCTCAGCTCAGGAAGGAGGGCTCCAGAGCAAACTAATTTACGCAGCAGCCAAATCACTCTCTCACAGCTTTAACGCCAGTCGCTCACCAAGTAGAATTTTTGCTCACAAGCAGTGTTCCCTCTGAGTTAGTGTGAGCTAGCTCATAGGCTTTTAGCCTCCAGCTCTCACATTTTTGTCTCAGCTCAGGAAAGGTGGGTCCAGAGCAATGTTCCCTCTAAGCTGTGAAATCTTGTGAGCAAAAATTCGACTTTGCGAGCCACTGGCATTAAAGTTGTGAGCGAGCGATTTGGCTGCTGCATAAATTAGTTTGCTCTGGAGCCCTCCTTCCTGAGCTAAGACAAAAATGTGTGAGTTGGAGGATAAAAAACTGTGAGCTAGCTCACACTAGCTCAGCTTAGAGGGAACACTGGTCCAGCGCAAACTAATTTATGCAGTAGCCAAATCGATCGCTCACAACATAAGAACATAAGAGATGCCAATGTTGGATCAGGCCAAAGGCCCATCCAGTCCAACACTCTGTATCACACAGTGGCCAGAAATACCAGGTGCCATCAGGAGGTCCACCAGGGGGTCAGGACATTAGAAGCCCTCACACTGTTGACCCCCCCAAGCACCAAGAAGACAGAGCATCACTTGCCCCAGAGTCCCTATCTATACCTTGTGGCTAATAGCCACTGATGGACCTCTGCTCCATATGCTTATCTAATTCCCTCTTGAAGCCGTCCATGCTTGTAGCCGCCACCACTTCCTGTGACAGTGAATTCCATGTGTTAATCACTCTTTGGGTGAAGAAGTACTTCCTTTTATCCGTTCTAACCCGACCGCTCAGCAATTTCATGGAGTGCCCACGAGTTCTTGTATTGTGAGAAAGGGAGAAAAGTACCTCTTTCTCTACCTGCTCTTTCCCATGCATAATCTTATAAACCTCAATCATGTCTCCCCTTAGTCGTCATTTCTCCAAGCTAAAGAGTCCTAAGCGCTTTAACCTTTCCTCATAGGGAAAGTGTTCCAACCCTTTTATCATTCGAGTTGCCCTTTTCTGCACTTTTTCCAAAGCTATAATATCCTTTTTAAGGTGTGGTGACCAGAACTACACACAGTATTCCAAATGAGGTCGCACCATTGATTTATATAGGGGCATTATGATATTGGCTGATTTGTTTTCAATACCCCATTGGCCTTCTTTATTGCAGTCACACACTGTCTCGACATTTTCAGTGAGTTATCTACTACAACTCCAAGATCTCTCTCTTGATCAGTCTCTGCCAGTTCAGACCCCATCAATGTGTATTTATAGTTAGGATTTTTGACTCCAATGTGTATCACCTTGCACTTGGCCACATTGAACCCCATTTGCCATGTTGACGCCCACTCGCCCATCCTTGACAGATCCCTTTGGAGTGCCTCACAATCCTCACTGGTTTTCACCACCCTGAACAACTTCGTATCATCCGCAAATTTAGCCACTTCACTGCTTACTCCCATCTCCAAATCATTAATGAACAAGTTAAAAAGCAGTGGACCAAGTACTGATCCCTGCGGTACCCCACTGCTTACCCCCCTCCACTGAGAGAACTGCCCATTTGTACTCACTCTCTGTTTTCTATTAATTAGCCAGTTTTTGATCCATAGAAGGACTTGTCCTTCTATCCCATGATTTTTGAGCTTACTTAGGAGCCTTTGATGAGGAACTTTATCAAAAGCTTTCTGGAAGTCAAGGTAAACAACATCTATTGGGTCCCCCTTGTCCACATGTTTGTTCACCCCCTCAAAGAACACTAACAGGTTAGTGAGACAAGATTTTCCCTTACAGAACCCATGCTGAGTCTGCCTCAATAACTTTAATGCCAGTAGCTCACCAAGTAGAATTTTTGCTCACAAGACTCCACAACTTAGAGGGAGCATTGCTCACAAGACTCCACAGCTTAGAGGGAGCATTGCTTGTGGTATATCTCAAAAATCATGTGTGAAGGGTTCCATTACACTAGATGTTCCAGTACACCAGAACAGTCTCAGGAACCCATTTGTCCTGAGCAGCTCCTCTAGAGATTAGGTCCGGTTAAAACAACCCTATATTTGTGTGCTTTGCTTTTATGGTAGTACGGACGGGAGCAGTAATAACTTTAGCAAATATCATTATTTTCAAGTTGTAGACTATGGAGATAATGCATAAAGCACTGACCGTACATTGTGCCCGGTCTCTTGTCTGTCCTAAGTCAGGAGGTACTTGTTGAAAAGTATAAATCCTTTCTTTCCCCCAGTTACAACCAAGTTCCACGCCAGAAACGGTGGAACAGCTGCTAAGCAAAAACAGAGACAATGAGAAACCGAGGGAGGCACCCAAGGAGAAGGCCGATTTGAGCTGCAAAGACTCCCTCGCTGAAACCAGCAGCAATGCTGCCTCCAACAGTGGCAGCAGCAAGGCCAACAGCCCCAGCATGTCGCCCACTGGCAGCACCCTGGAGCAGAAGCGAGGGCCGGAGGTGACTTCTCAGGGGGTGCAGACCTCCGGCCCGGGAGCCAAGCAAGAGAAGGAGGAGAAAGAAGAGAAGAAAGACACCACAGAGTGAGTGGTCCTCGTCACGCGGCTTGTATGTGGATCCCTGAATATCTGGCGGAGCGGACGGCAGCCAAGAAGGCCCAGCAGAGCTTTGTGGTTTCTGTTGCACTCCAGTTTGGTGTAGTGGTTAAAGTGCGCGGACTCTAATCTGGGAGAACCGGGTTTGATCCCCCACGCCTCCACTTGCAGCTGCTGGATGACCTTGGGCAAGCCATAGTTCTGATCAGAGCTGTCCTTGAAAAAGAGCAGTTTCTGTCAGAGCTCTCTCAGTCCCACCTGCCTCACAGGGTGTCTGTTGTGGGGAGGGGAAGGGAAAGGATTTTGTCAGCTGCTCTGAGACTCCGAGTGAAGGGCGGGGTATAGATCCAATCTTCCTCCTCCTCTTCTTCTTACCCGTGATTTATGCATTTATAGAATCTCTGGGAAGCATTTTTGTTCATATTTTACTTTTGTCTTTGAGAATGTGCACGGGACTTTTGCAGTGTTATCTGACGAGGAAGTAGCATTTAGGGGAGTGTTGGCATCTAGCTTCAGTGTGGCTACCTGTAAATCCAGAGTGGGGTGGTACTTTTTCTCATGCCAGTATATCTCCTTCTGCGGTGTGTCTCTTCAGAGTGAAGTTGGTGTTTCAAGAGAGGCGCTCTCTCCAAGGGGGGTGGGGTTTGCATACTTGTACCGGTTTCAGACTTCCACTGGGGGGAGTTGCTGCCTCAGGTTTTTGTCCTGCCTTCTCTGAGGAAACCAGCTGTGAATGGTGTTCTCTCCCCCCCCCCCTTCTGAATTTAGTTAGGTCGGTGGGATTTGCCTGAGTGGGTGTATTTCTCAATCTCAGCAGAGAGCTGCGAGCATCTTGGAACTGAGCCTTGCAGTAAGAGGCATGGATTGGGTACTGGGCCTTCCAGAGAGCTGGCTGAATAATAGCTAGAGCTTCATGCTTCGCAGCTGTCTTCTGGAGCTTCTGTTCCACCGGGGGCGCTGCATGTGTAATCTAGCAGTGCTTCGTCCGCAGCTAGAGTGGAACGAGACAGGCCTCTTGGATGCTTTCTCTCTGACCCCTGCTTGGAGCACAAGCAGCCTGCTAGTCTAACAAGGATGCAGGGACAGGGATCCATAAGCCAGCTAGCACGGCCCTAGTCGTGGCCAATCTCAAGCCTCATGTCTATGTGGCTTGCCTCCAAAGTTATGGCTGGGGGCGGAGGTTTCAAGGCGTGGTTTTTGGAGTCGAAGTTCTAGATCCTAGCACTCTTTACTCAGGAGAGGTAAATCATTAGAATCTTTGAAAGAGGCACTAGTTCAAATAAAGCACTAGAGAAAGACCATGCCTTCTGTCTCTAAGAGGGAACGCTGCAGGAGGGGTGGTAGGGGAACCAGATCTGGTTCCTTTCATCCTTGGAAGGCTTTCCTTTCAGGCCAAGAGACTTCTGGTAATTGAGAAACCCCCTAACATTAAAAAAAAAAGCTACGCTTTTTATTTAAATATTAAATGATCTGCTCTGCAAATGAATTGAAGTTTATTTAAATATTAAATGATCTGCTATGCAAATGAATGAAAATGTCTATAGTACAGATGTAATTCGGCAACCTATTTTAAAATGCTTGGAATCAACCAGGGTAAGTCTTCCCCGCCCTTATTTTGCGTGCATAACTGTATATATAATTATATAAGGCAGCAATAGTGCTAGAAAAAGAAGCCCCTGGCATGAAATCATCTGGGTTCTGGAGGCACTTTTCTCCCTCCCCCAGTTCACTCCCAACAGGCTGAGGTGATTGAGGAGGCAGTCTTCCTCGTGTTAGATTAGGATGGGTGCCTGTGTTAGAAAAGAGCAAGAGTCCAGGAGCACCTTAAAAGACGAACAGTTTGTGGCAGGGCAGGAGCCACAAAAGCTCGTACCCTGCCACAAATTTTGTTAGCCTTTAAGGTGCTACTGGACTCTTGCTCTTTTCTATTCCTCCTCATGTTTTTACTTTTGCTAGGAGAAAGGCCACAGCCTTCTCTCCTGCCCAGTAGGAAACATTAAACCTCTGAGCTCTTAAAAACTATTCAGAGAGGCTGTGTTACAGAATCTGTATCTCTCCGTCCTGAAATCTCGGCCTCCCCTGGGGTCAAGTGGGGTTTTTTTTTTGGTTGTCGTTTTGTTCTTTTGTTGTAATCCTTCCAACATGTTGTATGCTTCCAACATGCAGACCCACCCCCCTTTAGGTCAGAGCTTCATAGTGTTGAGAGCATCAAACACCTGGGCTCCTTAACCATTGCCTTTAAAGCAGGCAACATAGGGGCAAGTGCTCCCTGTATCCTGCCTGGGAACCGGTCTTTCTAGAAACATGAGCTTGAGGCGTGTGTTTTCGCCTACGACCGGTAAGATCTGTCGATGACTCTGCTTCATGTGTCTCCCCTCCCCATGACTTTTCTCGGTTCTGATAACATTTTAAAGTTGGGCACTTTTTTTTCCGTTGGGGGTGTCTTTCTGCAGCTGTAGTACTCCCAAAACTATGAGGCTAGATCCCCCCCCAGGCCAGTTGGAAGTTCAGAGCCTTTACAAGATCCTGTCTGCACTAGAGATGTGAAGGCCTAGGAAACCCCCCCCCCATATTTTTCCTGAAACCTTTTTTGTTTTTTCCCGAAAACTTGGAAAAATTGAAAAAAGAAGAGAAAAGGGAAAAAAATGATTATGGAACGTTTTATTTTAACATGATGAATAAAATATTTTAAGACAAGGTGTTCAAATATTTTCCAAATCATTTCTAAAAAATACTTATGGTATCAGATTGATCTAATTTCTGTGCACTAAGGACAAGCAAGTCCTAGGTTACCAACTGAACTCTCCAATGCAAGAACAAGGTGCATTTCTTCCTTTAGGAGGTGCTATTGTCACAAGAAAAGAAAAAGGTTTCAGTTTTGTTTTTGCATGTGGGTGGGTATTCTGTTTGTAATAATTGGTTGGATACACTATATTTTTAATATGCTAGTTGTGATAATTTCATGCCAAGTAAAAATGGTCCATAGTCATATTTTATGTTCCTAAAGTAACAGAATGACTTTCAATCTGGAAAAGAAAAAAGAAGTGCTAATGTAGCATTTTTTTCAATTTTTCCAAAAATTTCTACTTTCCCCCCAAAAAAACCCGGAAAAAAACTGGGTTTTTTTCCGAGCTTCAAAATTTCCAGAAATTTTACATCTCTAGTCTGCACTGGTAGTAAGAGAATTTAGCCATCTCCAAATGTCCTGTTGTGCCCTAGAAGGTGAAACCATCACAGTTAGATCCGTCGTTCACTTCCAAAGCATCCTCTCACATGCTGCTTCTTTCTCTGTCTCTCTCTTTTTTTTAAAGACAAGTTAGAAAATCCACACTGAACCCTAATGCAAAGGAGTTCAATCCTCGGTCATTTGCTCAGGTGAGTAGAAGGGGAGGAAACGTCCTCCTCTTTCCCCTTTGCTGTTCAAAAGCTGAAGTGCTGCAGGTGTTCCTGCCTCGTTGGTGTGCAGCTCGCGAGGACGATACCGTGGCTGCTGGGGGTGGGGTGCAGTTGGCCCGCTCAGGGTCCGCCTGTAGCTCAGCTGTTCCGTCTTGTTTGCAGCCCAAGCCTTCTACCACCCCGACGTCGCCCCGTCCGCAAGCCCAGCCCAGCCCTTCCATGGTGGGCCATCAGCAGCCCACTCCAGTGTACACTCAGCCTGTTTGTTTTGCACCAAATATGATGTATCCTGTTCCCGTCAGCCCAGGCGTTCAGGTAAAATGCACAGTTGTTTTGATGGGGCAAACCAGTAGGCATTGAAGAAGCCTGTCATACGCTCTGACCTGGGTAGCCCGGGCAAGCCCGAACTCTCGTCAGATCTCGGTGTCAGCACCCACTGTCAAACAATTGAGTACACACTTCTAGAAAGGTCATACTTTATTGCCAGTACTATGGTGGCAGGAACATGTTCACTGTTAGGAATAACTACCATCTAGAAAGCAGATAGAGATATAGGGCATTCAGATGCACTCCCCCACCACCACCTATGGGCCAATCGGCCTGACTCCCGCGGGCAGGAAGGAGGACCAGAACAGTTAGAGCCGAGGCTGGGAATGAAACTAGTCACACGGTTAATTGATGGGAAGACACTACACAGGCAGGCTACAAGGTCAGCGATAACAAGGGGAGAAGAGCAGGGAAAGGAATGCGGCATCAACTGGTACATAGGTCATGAAAGCGAACCCGGACCCATAAACAATATGGCAGCATAGCCAGAAATCTATCTCCTGGACGTATTTCCCAGTTGTTATGAGCAAAATGACATATATTTATTGACCTATATCCTTACGTCAGCCAGAATATTAATAGCTAAATATTGGAAATCAGAAAAAGTTCCAGTAAGAGATGAAATTGTCAAGGAACTGTTAGAAGTGGCTGAAATGGATAGACTTATTACTTCAAGAAAAAGATGGTAAATATTTCAAAAAAGATTGTTTAGAGTCTATAAATGGATTGAAGAAAAATGTATATAATGGACTCATACTATGGAAGACACATGTAATATTATATATATTCAATTTATGATATAAAATGATAAAAATTGGAAAAAAATACAGTAAGATTTAGAACACATTAAAACATATAAAATTAGTAGCCGTGCTTGCCGTAGGCAGAATCCGGCCCATTGACGTAACTGGGTATGGCCGGTTATCAGTAGGTGGGAGACCGCAACCTGGGGGGGGCCATATGCGGACACCCACTGCCTCAGCCAAAGGCCTGGCGGAAGAGCTTCGTCTTGCAGGCCCTGCGGAATTGAGTAAGATCCCGCGGGGCCCTGATCTCGATGGGGAGCATGTTCCACCAGGTGGGGGCCAGGGCAGAAAAAGCCCTGGCCCTGGTCAAGGCTAGGCTAACGTCCTTTGGGCCAGGGATCGCCAGGAGATGTTGACTCTCGGAGCGTAATGCTCTCCGAGGCATATATGGGAAGAGGCCGTCCCTTAGATATGTTGGTCCCGGGCTGTATAAGGCTTTGAAGGTGATTACCAACACCTCCTTTTTCTTTTTATCATTGGCTTCAGCGGAGTTGTTCCCCAGCTTCTTCTTTGAAACCGCAGTGCATTTTGGAGGGTGTTTTTGGGGTTGTGTCAAGCGTCCACTTAGAGTGGCAGAACTGGCCCAAGGAAACCAGAACAGTGATGGCAATTAAAATCGAATGGCAAACTGTAACTGGCCGGGTGAGAACCATGTATCTGGCAGAGCATGTCTGGCAGTAAATCATGTGTTAAAGTTGTCACATTGTGAGTGCGCCTGGAGAATGGGTGTGGTGTGCACGCACGCGTCTGTGGCTGTCTTCATTTAACGGCCTCCCATCTTCCTTTACAGCCCCTGTATCCTATTCCCATGACTCCCATGCCAGTCAACCAGGCCAAGACCTATAGAGCAGGTAAAGGTGAGAATAATACAGCATTGCATGTTCTCGTACTCAGCTTGCAGATGGAATGACTAACTCGTCCCGCATGTGACTTTTGTAATATGCTGATATAAGATGGATGCATCCTTCACCTTTAGGAATGTTCCTCACTCGTCCTCATGTCTGTGCCGCCTCCTCCTAATTTGTTCTTAGTTTTCTTAGATTTTTAATCCCTCTTGGACGGGCACAGTTGGACTTTCCCTGCAGGGTCCAGCCTCTCGACTCCGGTGCCCACCCAGTGCATGCTTACTTGAACTGGTAGTGCTTGATTGGCGAGTTGTTTAATCACTAAGGAGCGAGTAGGGATGGAAGGTGTCGCTGTGGTAGGGGCTTTTGCCTCCCCTTTGAAACTGTAAACGGGTCAGTTTACTATTAACCCTCTTGATTTCGGAAGCTCCTTGAAAATGCAGGGCTATATCAAGCACAAGGCTGTGAAGAGCCCCTTTGGAGCCAGTTTGGTGTAGGGAGCCAGCTTGGTGTAGTGGTTAAGTGCACAGACTCTAATCCGGGAGAACCGGGTTTGATTCCCCACGCCTCCACTCGCAGCTGCTGGTGTGACCTTGGGTCAGTTACAAGTTCTCTCAGAGCTGTTCTCTCACGAGCAGTCCCCGAGAGAGCTCTCTCAGCCCCGCCTACCTCCCAGGCAGTGCTCCCTCTAAGCTGTGGAGCCTTCTGAGCAAAAATTCTACTTTGTGAGCCACTGGCATTAAAGTTGTGAGCCAGCGATCTGGCTACTGCATAAATCAGTTCGCTCTGGAGCCATCCCTTCCTGAGCGAAGACAAAAATGTGTGAGCCAGAGGCTAAAAAACTGTGAGCTAGCTCACACGAACTCAGCTTAGAGGGAACACTGCTCCCAGGGTGTCTGTTGTGGGGAGGGGAAGGGAGAGGAGTTTGTAAGCCGCTCTGAGACTCCAAGTGAAGGGCGCAGTATAAATCCAATTTCCTCCTCTTCTTCTTTGAGCCTCCAGACCAAGATTCTTCCCTGGGTCCTCCCATCTTGACCAATACTCTGTCTAAGCTGTGGAGTCTTGTGAGCAAAAATTCTGCTTTGTGAGCATTAAAGCTGTGAGCGAGCGAGTTGGCCGCTGCATCAATTAGTTTGCTCTGGAGCCCTCCTTCCTGAGCCGAGGCAAAAATGTGTGAGCTGGAGGCCAAAAAACTGTGTGCTAGCTCACACTCACTCGACTTACAGGGAACACTGATCTGGACCCCAACCCAAACGTCACCTGAAAACAGATAGCTGAGTTTTCCTGGCTCCTGGAGCCTTCAGGTTGACCAGGGGCCTCCAGAGTTTTGTCCTTCAAGACCCTCCTCACCCTCTACCCCCTGCAGCCTTGTTTCAGTAGCCACGTTCTTCCCACAAAATAAAAGTCAATAGAACAAACTAGGCACTCATGAAATGTAATGCCACGTTACACTTCAGTGTCGTGTGCATTGTTTGTTTGTTTTTGTAATCTAAATGAAAAATACAAATGATTTCTTTTTAAGATGGCATATTCACGGAACCAGCTAATTTTAAAACGCTGTGGTGTCTTAGGTAATCTTTTTTTGGATGTAGTCCTCAGAACCCTTTTCTCTAGTTTCCCTGCACCGGCTGCTGTATATCTGTCACAACGGAGTGCTCTTTTAATACAGGAGCTTAGCCAACGGTTGACATTTCCACATGAAGTTTTGATGTGAGACGTTTCTGCTTCTCTTGCTGCTCTGCTGGGGACCGAATCGTAGTTCTTCCCCAGTTCTCTCATGGGAGGTAAAGGTTCTTGTGAGGCTTCCAGTAAGAAATTGCTTGTGTTCGAGCACAAGTATGGAGCTGGGCTAGTTTTCGCCGAGCCCCTGTGCAATAGCCTCCAAGCCAACACGCACGATCGGATGACCCTCTGTCCCAACCAGTGTTCCCTCTAAGCTGAGTTAGTGTGAGCTAGCTCACAGTTTTTTAGCCTCCGGCTCACCCATTTCTGTCTCAGCTCAGGAAGGAGGGCTCCAGTGCAAACTAATTTATGCAGCAGCCAAATCACTTGCTCACAGCTTTAGTGCCAATAGCTCACAAAGTAGAATTTTTGCTCACGAGACTCCACAGCTTAGAGGGAACATTGGTCCCAACTGAAAGGAGAGGCCTGTGTTTGATGTGTTTCTGGAGCATAAGCGTCTCTCTCTCTCTCTCTCTCTCTCTTTCGGGAAAGGTGCTTTCATTAAGGTGCGCTCTGTCCTTTGCTTGCAGTATCGAACATGCCCCAGCAGCGGCAAGACCAGCACCATCAGAACGCCATGATGCACCCGGCCTCTGCCGCTGGCGCTCCCATCGTAGCCACGCCGCCGGCTTACTCAACGCAGTACGTCACCTACAGCCCCCAGCAGTTCCCCAATCAGCCTCTAGTTCAGCACGTGCCACATTATCAGTCTCAGGTATGCCTCGCACTTCTTTCAGCTGTGCTCTTTGCGGCGCCCCCTTCTGCCCCGGCCGTGGGAGGCTCACTTTGCATGTTGCCACGCTGACCGCTCTGGGGAAACTGAACTGCCACGTAACACTTCAGAGAAAGTGGCGGATGCCAGCGGTTGTGGGGGCAAACCTCAAGCTGCAGAACATCTGTCCCACGTTATGTTGTGTTAGGAGCCAGGAACTGGAGGCCCAAACCTGCCTCTGTGAGGGGGAGTGTCTGAGGAGGAAGAGGTGTGAAGAGGACGGTGACTGGGGCCACAGGATTTGCCGACAATCCAGATAGTGGGAACGAAGGGCCTTGGCTCACAAGCGGAAACTCAATTCAGCTCGATTTATTACAATCAAAGATCAGCAAATACCTTAAAAGGTTACATATAGTTAACAGTGAAATACAGCCAGGCAGTTGGCACAGGTAAAATTTTAGTCGAGACAACATGGATTTTAAAATTTCCTAAGAAGTAATAGTCTTCTGTCTGGTTAGGATAGCCAGAGCACAAAATCTTGCTACCTTGGCAGTAGTTTCATTACAAATATCAGCTAAAAGAAGAGTAGAATAAAACTGATTTGACCTGCCTGGGTAGGCAACGATTATTGGCGTAATATATTCAGAACGAATCTCGTGATAAAACCGGCAAGATGAAAGAACGTGCTCAATTGTCTCGACCTGTGCAGAATTACAAGGACTGGAGTCGGCTTGCGTGTGGGGTGTGAGCATATCTCCCTTGCAGGAGGGCAGATGGGAGAACATTTAATCGTGCCAAGGTAAAAGCTCTGCGGTGCTTTTGGGCGTTCTAATGAATAAAGGCAGAGGTCATTTCGGGGGGATCACGGGGGAACACAGATCCCCCGGGTGAGGTGCGGGGGGCGGGGCACATGACGAAGCCCCGCCCCCTGCTTCCAGCCGCCCCGCTTCCGGCCCTCATTCAGCCAGGAGGAGGCAGGAGAAGAGGGAGGGTAAGTCGCTTCCTCCCCGCCTCTCCCCACCCCTGCCTGCCTGGAGCCAGGGAGGGCCTTGGTGGGGCTTCCTCGCACTCCCGCCGGCCTTGCAGGTCCACTGCCGGGCCCCTGATGTCAGGGGGTGTGGCATATGCTAATGAGTTCTTTTTCTTTTCTACGAAACGACCCCTGAATAAAGGTAACTGGACGGAGCAAAATTTAGTTTTTTATTTCTCACCACTGAAAGGTGTGAGGCTCGTGTTCTGTCCATTTGGAGAGGTGCCCCATAATCTCTGTTTGACAACAGCTTTGGCTCCTTGAAATCCAAGTTGTAGAAGGCAGTACTAGAAAAACCCAGTTTGTATTCTGTTGTGGAAACCCCAAGCTGAAACTCAGTGTGGCCTTCCCATGAAACTAGTTTCTGACCAGGGTGTGAGATACGTGGAACCTACAAAGTAGAACAGATTTTGAGTCCAGCGGCACCTTTAAGACCAACAAAGGTTTATTCAAGGTATGAGCTTTTGTGTGCAAGGCACACTTTTTCAAATACATCGGAATGGGAGGTAACAGTGCAGACTTATAGACAGAGGCTGAACAGCCCATTAGCGTCACCATGATGTGTTAAGATACACAAAGACAAAACTAAATAACAAGCTAAGGTTATAAGGTCAACAGTTGTTTTGATGTAATTAAGGGGAGGAAACAGTGAAGGAATAAATATGCCAACATAGGAGATAACCTACAAAGGTTTAGGTTCCGGGTCTCCTCACATAACTGCCAAGGCGACTGACAGCTCTGTAGGTGTTGGAGCGTTGAAATAGAAACTCTTTTTGTATTCCTCTGGGCCTTGTCTCAGGCCACAGTCTGAAGGCACATGCTGCAGCAACTGGGCTGAAGCTGATAGGGTCTGGGCTGGGGTAGTGCCTTCTGGACGATGCCTTGAGTTCAAGGAAGGAAGGAAGGCCGGATATCGGTGTAGTAGATTGATCTGAGAGCTGATGTAACGCGGTGGTTGAAAGACTGAGCTTTGAGACTCACCTCCGCCATGAACTCAAAACGGTGATCTTAGTCAAGCCGTTATCTCACAACAATAACGACAGCAGCACCCTCCTTTAAAGAGCTGCTGTCAGGTTTACAGCACAACCGTGTACGTGAGACCCTTTGAAAATGCCAGAGCATTCACACAAGTGCTACATTTTAACGTCTTTGAAACAGGCAAACGGTCAGCATTTAGTACAGGGCAGGAAGCAAAACCATGTCTAAGGCCTGTCTTAAATAAATCATGTATGACTTAACATCATATAAGGCTTCAAATATTTCTCAAATATACAACAGTATTCAATACAAGAAATAGGCTGGAGATTTAAAGCAGTATCTTAACATTTACTACTTGGCACTCCCAAAAGAAAGACTTCACAGATTCCAATTTCACAATTTCAGTGGACTGAAAAACATGATCTTCAAATAAAGCGAGTACATCCACTTCTTAAGACTTAAGATGGACAATATAAAGTACGTTGCAGTCAGCCAGTGGATCCAGTCCTTAGGACTTGAGACAAACAATAAGAGAGAGGCTGCCGTCAACTCATCCTCCAGATTATTCAATGAGTTTTTGATCCCTTCATCAGGACTGCAAAGGGGGACTCCCCAAAGAGGCACAGCCACAGGAACTTCTCAGCCAATGCTGCCTCCAAACTGTCTTATTGTACAGCAATGTCTCAAGACTGCCTTATTTTCCTTTGTTCATGATGGAGACGTGTAGCCCAACTCTAGGTGCTCTTCCATCTAAATGAATGTAAAGACGGCTCTTAGTGTTCCTTCTGAAAGTGCAGAAGACGGCTGAAGTATGTGAAGTTACAAGGACGGTGGAGGGATGGCGTGCCTGAGTGTAATCGGCTGGGTGCCCTTTGGGTAAAAACTCTCCGTACACCCAGCACATGGCACAGTAGCATAACAACAGCAGTCGTACGTGTGTACCTATGAAGCGGCCTTGTACGGAGTCGGTCCATTGGTCCATCTAGTTCGGGGTTCTCCTCTGTGATGGACAGTGGCTTTGGGGCACATAGGGCAGGGGGAAAAACATTCCCACCCCCACCTGCCATCTGAGATCTTTTAAACTTGAGATGCCAGGGACTGAACCGGGGACCTTCTGCTTGAAGGACAGGTGCTCTCTCACCCTGTCTCGTGCAGTTTTATATCCTTCCTAACATCCTTCCTATAGACTTCAGTTTGTTTGACATTTTGAGCGAATATGTTAGAACGCAACGACAACCGTCACCCAGAGCTGTACTGCATGGTGCCGCATGTATATGCATGCACCCCTCCTCTGTCACATAAGCAGTTGCGTGAACTATCTCAGAGACTCCCTCGATCACAGCGAACAGGTGCAGTGCAGCATGGCCCCTACCTGCTGCTTCTGCTGCTGGAATCTGAAAATGGAGAGCCCTTTGCCTTCAGGAGGTTCAGTTAGCTAGTGATGGAACAGAGCCCCCGTATTGTGCCGCCAAGAGGCCAGCAACCCGTAGGAGCTAGCAGATCTGTTGCAGAGGAGAGTTTTGGCATGGTCATCGAGCTTTTGTTTATAATGGGCAACACCAGAGTCCGCCTCTAAAAGGCAAAGTCTTGTGGCTAAACATTTTGGCCTATTTTTCCGAGGGACTTGCTAGTTTGAAGAAAGGCTGCATTTCCATACAAGGAATACTGATCCTCTGTCTTCCGCGCTCTCCCTTTGGCAGCACCCCCACGTCTACAGCCCCGTAATACAGGGTAACGCTCGGATGATGGCACCACCAACGCACCCCCAGCCCGGCTTGGTTTCTTCCACAGCTACGCAGTATGGTGCCCATGAGCAGACGCACACGATGTATGGTAGGAAACCTTTTCTGTTCGGCTTGGGTGTTTTAAGACCCCCTCCCCTTTGTGCTGGGGGGGGCTGGGTTTTACAGGCTGGGGCAAAGAAATGGAGTGCTTTGTGTTTGAGGGCAGACAAAATCCATGACAACCTATTAAGGTGTCCCGCAGTCACTAGAGCCTGGAATGAAGGGCTGTTGTCAAGTATGAACTGGTGTAATGGGATGGCTAAGAGAACGGGCTGTGGCCCAGAAGGACCCTCACTTAAATCTCACTTCTGATGCAGGCCAATTGCTCAGCCCTTCTGGCTTGTGGGTATGATGATGATACCGGTGTACCTTACAGGGCTGCTTTGAACACTGCAAGGGCTGTAGAAATGCCTTTTCCTTGAGCAACTAGGACAAAAATCTGACTCTTAATGGCATATTTAGAACTGTAATTTCTCATGGAGAGCCAGTTCTCTCTCTCTCTCTCCCCCCTCTCTCTCCCCCCCCTCTCTCTCCCTCTCTCTCTCCCTCCCTCCCTCCCTCTCTCTCCCTCCCTCCCTCTCCCTCTCTCTCTCTGTCATTACTTGCAGATCTTTAACCACCACATTACCACTAACACAGCAGCACCTCTCAGTGGAGATATGCGGCTTTGACAATCTTTAACACCCCCCTCCCCCTCAAAAAATAAGTCAGAGGTGGAGAGAACCCTATCTGTTACCATGAGGCTGTCCTCCCATTCTACCCACTTGGGCCAGCAAAATGACTTGAGACAGCCCTGCCTTATAGCTAAGCAGAAGGAAAGAAACATGGCTTGCCTCCCTCCATGTTCCACTTCCCTCTGCCGCCCCACCAGCCACAGTTGGGACACTCATCTGGAGCTTCCTTCTAGATCTCATTGTATTCCTTCCCACAACGGGCATTACTCCTAGTTTTAACTATATTTATTTTTAATTGCTCAAATGTTCTGGTTTTTTTATGCTCGCCACCTTATGGACTGTGATAGGGTAGAAGATTGGCATAAAAATATGTAAAATAATAATCACAGACATGCTGGCTTACAGCAGCCTGTGTAGTTGTTCAGTGAATGGATTCTGGACTGTTGACCATACTGACCTTATGTAATGTGGCTTGAGTTGCAGTGAGAAAGGCGGACTCTGAATAGCATAAGCACCTTGTGGGCCGCTTCCTGGGTGGGACCGCAAACATTGTTTAAGTAATATTAGGTTTTCCTATCATTTGTGTTGTTATTTTGGGATCCTGTCCTTGTTCTGCTTGGAGGAAGCTTTTCGTTTGGGAAAGGCACTAGGTCACCTGTCATACTGCCCTCGTCTGCCGGAACACTGTTCAGAAGCGGAAAGGCAGGGAGAGTAAGTAGGCAAGTGAGGCACGTTGCCATTTTAGTGTAAAGGGATGGGCACATCTGTAGAGAATGCTGTGCATGGCTGCGAAGTAGCCAGGGAATCTCCAGAGGGGATCCCTCTTATCAGAATCATGTCGCTTCAGTGCTGTGCAAGACTCAGCCATACACAGCATCCTTCAGAAGATAAGAACCCTGCTGGATCAGACCAGTAGTCCATCCAGTCTATCTCACGCAGTGGTCAGCCAGTTCCTCTGGAGGGCCAACAGCAGGGCATAGAGGCCGAGGCCTTCCCTTTATGTTGCCTCCTGGGCCCAGCATTCAGAGGTTTACTTCCTCTTTCAGTGTTGTTCATATCCTGCCTGTCTGTACATCCAAGGCGGGTAGCAATCAGTGTATTAAAAGCACTTTAACTGTATTATAAAGCTATATACTCAAATATAGATGAAAACAAAGATACCAGTGGCTTCTACCACTTTGCAAACAGTAGTGCAGCTTTACAAAAGAATGACCGGACTGCCTTACGCTGAATTGTAGCAGAGGAGCTGCTCTCTAGGAGCCTATTCGAGGAGACCGGAAGTATGGCAGGGAATGGTTGCACTCCCAACTGCTGCACTTAATGTCTGGGTAGGAGACCACACAGTTACAAGCGGTTCTAAGGACCTCCTTGGATACTTGGGCCTATGTTGATTATTATTTTTTTTTAAACAAACAGTCTTGATTTTTCTGGCCCAGAAGAACTCCCAAGGTTCTGTTGGGCAGCTTTTGATCATGACTCAGAGGGCCGAGGCAGCCACAGGACGACTCGTTGGCAAAATGTTAGGGAGCTTTTGTGGGCTTTATGGAGAGCACATGGTGCAAGTTGAGTAGGGGGCTGATCGGAGTCCCTCTGCACACGAAGAAGGGTTGCGAAGTATATAGCTGGCCTGGAAACAGCCTGTATTGGCCTAATGGGGTGCTCAGCTTGGTGAAACATCCAGCCACTTACAAAGGGAGGCTTGGTTTTCATTGAGAAATTCTCCCGACCACTGTTTCTTTCCATTTTAACATCTAGTCGTGTGTTTTTGGCACGCTATTACAGTCAAAACCTTGGAACAGGCTGCTGTTCGTAGGAAGCTGAACTTCCTCTGAGGTTTAGACAGTCAGTCACGTATGTGATTTGCAGGGTTCGGTAATACGTGCTCTGTGTTGTAATAGGCAGCATACCAGCTGGGCTTTATGTGATCTGATGCCTTTCTGACCAAGTGCAGCAATGCAATTACTTGTAGCAGTGGAAAAATTTGGAAGTTCGTTTTCCGGAGTGTGGTGGCCGAGAATGAGCTCTCAGCCCGAAAGTCCTTTACTCAAATACTAGAAATAAGGCCCGTTGTGGAAATAAATACAACGGGATCTAGAAAGAGGCTCTGGGAGAGTGCTCTGGCTTTGGGCAAACAGTGTCAGTCTGCTTTTAAAACATGAACCTGGGACCTGCACACCACCAGAATACAGCAGGTTCCATATGCAACTGACATTCCAACTGCCTTGCGGGGGGGGGGGAGTTTGAGGTGTGGAATGGAGTGAAGTCCAATCAGCTTCCATATGCAAAAGACCAGGTTGTCGCAGCAGTTGTGGTGTGGGCGGGACCCGGGCTTTGCCTTCTGATTGGTGGCGATATATGCTGAGGAGCAGTGCCATCAGCCATACACTAAGGGAGTGCATTTTAGAATTAGAACTTTGGCACCCACTATTACCTCAGCTGTCATATTATTAAGTGGCAGCCAGCCGTTTGCATTCTCCCAGACTAACTATCCAGTCTGCAATATGGCGAAAACAAAACTGATCTGCCTTACAGGTGCTTGCTCTTCAGGTCACTGAAATAATACATGTGAGATATTGATTAGGCTAAACTGTGAGTGGATTATTTCCACTAGAGCAAAATCTATAAAGGGCATTTGCAGTAACTGGTAGTTCATTGGTGGTCAGCACGTTGTATCAGGCAGTAGGATATATTATATGTTTGTAACAGACTCCTTCTGATTAAGTGTGTGTATAAACAAGTAATTCATGCTCACCATTAATGCCCAGAGCCTTTGTTAAAACTTGACTTCTGAAGTGAAAACCCAGCTAAAGTGTATTCCTGTGCTTGATCCTGGTTCTGCTTCATATTTACTCAGCGTTCTTCTGTGTCTGATTCTCTCTAACCTCCTGTGGTTTTCTTTCCCTGTTCAAATGTGGTGTGCTAAACAGCAATGTGTTGGGGAAAGGGGGCTTTGCATATCGAGGAATCCAGTTTTCTGGGTTTTAATCTGTCCCCATCTCCATAAAAAAGAATAACGTATTGGTCTTCACTGTAAATCAGTTAAATTTCTGATCTTTATTCTTCATGTTATATGGAACACCTTTTTAGTAGTTGACATTTTAATGTTGATGAAGACCAACTTTTGCCATCTGAATTCACCTGAAAATCTTTTAATTTATTCTTAATTGCAAATTGGTGTGTGCATGAAAACAATCATTGACTGTTTAACCTTTCCAGGAGACTGGAAGTGGCGCTCTAATCTCATGGTACGCAGCTAATTTCCCTTTCTATTTCCCCAAATTCAGCATGCCCCAAAATACCCTACAGCAAGGAGACAGGCCCTTCTTTCTACTTTGCCAGTGAGTTGGGTTTTTTTGTACTAACATTGATTTGTACAGTAAACTTGAAAGAATCTGTCAGAGGGAACAGGCTTGTTGAATGGCTACTCTTTCACTTTGCATCAAACCAGATCAAATTTAGTGGGAGCTTTTTTGTTGGCAGCAAAGTATGCTCATAGCTGTCTGAGGAAGACTCATTTCTGTCTAGGGAGAAGTTAGGTGGGCCACCTAGACTGGGTCAGTTTTGATGGGAACTGTAAAATTTGGACTGTGGTGGTCCAAAGGTATATAAAGTACAAAAGTATCTGAAGAGAGCACAACTCTGAAGGGCAAGAACTGGGTTTGGAGGACTCCAGGAAGAGGGCACAGTTTTCACACATTGTGCTGGCACAGTTGGAATGCTATTGAAGTACTCAGTCTTGAGAACGGCACAGCTCACTTTGAAAAGGCAAGGGCTCTGGCTTGGATTCCACTGCATAATTATGATCCTCTAGCTTTCCCAAAGGAATTTGTCCCTTGTGTTTTTTCAAGCAAACCAGAAGATCTAGAGTCTCTCAGAGCCTTACCTAGGGAAGAAGAGTTCTCCTCACACTTGTAGGGTTTTGCTGATCTGCAGATTGTGGCAGGAACCCCAAGTATTCATATTCTTTATTAGGGGTTGGGAACAATGCTCCCTCTAAGCTGTGGAGTCTTGTGAGCAAAAATTCTACTTTGTGAGCCACTGGCTTTAAAGATGTAAGCAAACGATTTGGCTGCTGCATAAATTAGTTTGCTCTGGAGCCATCCTTCCTGAGCTCAGACAAAAACGTGTGAGCCGGAGGCAAAAAAACTGAGCTAGCTCACGCTCACTCGCCTTAGAGGGAACACTGGTTGGGAATCCAATAGACTTTGTAAAAAGCTGCCCCAGAAATGGGGTGGTGACCCACTGCCTCTATTCAGAGGGCTATAATGCAGTCTCAGTGTTTGGTTTGGTGCACTTGAAATCCTTTCAACAAGCTTATTCTTTTCGCAGACACCCCCCCCTTTTAAAGATGGATTCCACTGTACTCTTGTAACATGCATTTTCATAATTCTGAATGTATTTACGCTAAGAGTGGTTTGCTTGCTGTCATTCAATCAAAGGCCAATATCATTATTGCCATCTTACTGGGAATGGCAGAATCATGTGCCGATTATGGTTTCATTCAGTCACTTGCCACTGGATTCGTGTGCAGTGCCTGTGTGCAGAAAATCTAAACTGGTGTTGAATTTGGCTGGCCTCTCCTTCCCCGGCCTCCCTTTCTTTCTACACTTCCTGCTGCCCTGGTAATTTGACCTCTTTTTGGGTTATGGTAGAACTTGTGCCTTCTCAGCATTCTGTTGCCCTCTTTAAAAGCATCTACTTCTGTTGCCGTTTTCTCTTTCCTCTTGCTGACATGTCGTTGTACAGTCCCTTATGTGCCGTAGTGCTCCACATAACCGAGCATCCATTCCCCAGTTACTTATTTACTGGAAACCTGTTGGATTGCGGGTGTAGGGGAGAGGTATAAGTAGAGGCAGATCAGCTTAATTTGGCTTGGCTTGTAGCTAAGGATGTATTCAGAGGAACAGCTGAGGTTAGTGGTCATCACAGGGCATATTTCCCCCCTCCCCAAAAGACTTCTCAGGTTAACTGGTCTGTGACAGATGGGAGGTCTTTCCTTTGGGTGTCTGTTGTTTTTCCACGTCCTTATGTGAATTGCAAAACATCACGATAGTGATTTTTCTGCAGTTTCTCGGTCCTGGAATACTCGACACTTGTCCAGGTCTTGCTTAAAAGTCACTGTGGGGTCTGGTCAGCGCTGACCATGGGCCGCCTCGTGCTGACTTTCTCTACCAGCAAGATAATTGGTACTCTGTGCCTTTGATGAGGTCTGTGGTTTGAGTGAGACACTAGCAAAAACTGCGCCCAGAACAGAAGCAAAATTTTAGTTCAGGGGCACTTTAGAGACCAGCCAGGTTTCCCAGGGTATAATCTTTCGAGAGGCAACGCTCCCTTTGTCAAATACCTTGACCCTGGAAATCTCATCGAGTCTTGAAGGTACTATTGGACTCGAATCTTCCTCATCTCCTGCAGACCAGTGCAGGTACCCGCCTGAAACTATCTTTAAAGTATGTTTGTTTGTTCTGAATGTATCATGCATGAGCACCGTGAGCAAGAGATGTTCCCCCAGGTAACTTGGAATTTTGTGGCAGTAACATAAAGTCACAGAGGGGAGTAAAGAGGTAGGATATAAAGGTAGAGGGGGCTCAGTCTTACTGATTTACATTTGCACCCCACCGCTCCACATAAAATATCTGTGATTCACCAGTTTAGTGGTTGGAGTGTTGGGCTGGAAGATTCCTGTCCCCTCTCAGGTGTGAAGCTTGCCACATGACCGTGGGACTGAATAGGGCCCGATGGTGGATTTTTAAACAATTTGAATGTCAGCCAGATGTGAAGTAAGAAACGCCATTAAGAAGGCGATGGAGAGAGGTGCGGAGGACGGAGAGGGGTGTGCCGTCACTGCTGGTGTGTTCAAGTCTCTGTTTTCCTTTTTCCCTCCCGCCCAGTCTCTACTGGCTCTCTTGCACAGCAGTATGCCCATCCCAGTGCCACTCTGCACCCACATCCGCCACACCCGCAGCCTTCTGCCACACCGACGGGGCAGCAGCAGAACCAACATGGGGGCAGCCATCCAGCTCCCAGCCCAGTGCAGGTAAGGCGGACGACCGGAAACCGGCACGAAAGACTAAGCCTGTCGGTGTACGTGGTGCGTGCGATTGGCCGAGCGCCTGCTCTGTCATCTGCCTCTTGCGCAGGACGTTGGGTTGATTCTGCCTGCCTGGGGCGGTACATTAGTAGGAACTGGTCCCCAGCCCATCTCTAAAGGACTCTGCTGGTTCCGTTGGGATTAGTCACCCTGGTGGACCCATGTTTGCTGCAAGTCAGAGCCCAACGTGTCTTTTTATTGTAACACGCACCTGTACCCCCTTTCTAGTTTAAAATTGCTCTTTGCACAATGCAAAAGATAAAATGGGAACCATCTACAGACATACGGCTCAAAAGATAAAGGGGAGCAGAAGCATTGGGTTGTTTTTTTTTTTTTAATTCTGCATTTTAAAAATGTATAAGTTCTTTTTAATTTGTGCCTTTTAATCTTGCTTTTTGGACTGGTATGTTTTGAGTTCTTGCAGCCTGGTTGTTGCCCTGTTTGGCCACATTGAGTCTGAAGAGGCAGGGCAGGATAAGGAAGTTTAAAAGACGGAAATACCAGTGGTGTTGCAGTGTCTCAACCTGCAGTCCCAGCCAGGCGGCAGGCTTGCCTACGGGCTCCACTGGGGGAGTGATTCCGCAATTGAGGTGCTGCCATAGGGAGGGCCAGGACTGGAACTCTTGCCCCAAGGGGATTATTCCAATAAAAGAGCAACCCTCACATCTTACAAGGGGGTGGAGACATGCACATGAGATTTCCTCCACCTGTAATGCCGAATTCGACACGTTTGTGTCAAGCAGGTGAACCTCTGTGAGCGTGACAACTTCTAGGGAGACGAGCCAGTGTTCCTGTGGCTCCCCAGTGTGTGAAGCTGCCTCATCCTGTCCTACTTTCAGCTGGCGGCTGCCGTGTGGGCGAGGGAAATAGGGACGCGGCACCGGATCTGTAAACGCGGTGGCCGTCAGAAAGTGGCAGTCCCATGGTGATTGCTGCAAGGTGGATACCATGTTTCTCTCTCCCTCTGCAGCCGCATCAACACCAGGCCGCCCAGGCCCTCCACCTGACAAATGCACAGCAGCAATCGGCAATCTACCATACCGGACTCGCGCCAACCCCTCCTTCCATGACCCCCGGCTCGAACGCACAGTCTCCGCAGAGCAGCTTCCCGACGGCACAGCAGACAGTCTTCGCCATCCATCCTTCCCACGTCCAGCCTGCCTACACCAACCCACCGCACATGGCCCACGTCCCCCAGGTAACGAAATGTCTCCCGTGGTGGTGACCTTGCCCGGCGGCATTTCCTAGCGCTGGGGAGGGGCAGAGGTGGTGAGGAGCCATGTCTCCTTCTCTCGGGGTCTGTGCCGAGAAGACGGATGCCAGGTAGCTTTGATCCGAGGGAGCCCTCGTGGAGGCGTGGTGTGTCCATGGCAATGTTCCCTCTAAGCGGTGGAGTCTTGTGAGCAAAATATTGTGTGAGCTCCCGGCATCAAAGTTGTGAGCGAGCGATTTGGCTGCTGCATGAATTAGCCTGCTCTGGAGCCATCCTTCTTGAGCGGAGACAAAAATGTGTCAGCCGGAGGCTAAAAAACTGTGAGCTAGCTCACACTCACTCAGCTTAGAGGGAGCCCTGGTCCTTGGCCGAGTCTGAGGCATCAGGGAGCTGCTTGGAACGTGAAGGGGCTTTGTGCACACGTTGTAATCTCTGCCCAGCGACTTGTCTTTGTGAGTGCTTTGGAGTCCCTCGGACTCGGGATGGGTGAGTTGCTAAAATTATATGGGAGGGAGCTGGTGACAGGTGGAAGTCAATTGAGGCTCAAGCTGGGAGAATGAAGAGAGGCCGGTACGTTTTGTGCTCATAGCTGAGCAGGGCCGTGGGGTGGGTGGAGGAAGCTCTCGCTCCCAGAGTCAGTAGCCAGGTTTGGGAGAGCAGGTCGTCGCTCTCCTCAAGTGGCTGCCCTTCCAGAGGCCGCTTTGTGTGGGAAGCCATGATGGGAGTCACCGGGCAGCAGGGCTCGTGCCGCTGCAGCGCTCGAGTTGACACCTGCCTGCCGCGGAAGAGGAGTCCTCTCGTTCCACTTTTGTGTTGAGCATCAAAGCATTACACAGGGAAACTGAAGGCTGGCTAATTCGTGTCCTAGAGAGCCAGTTTGGTGCAGTGGTTAAGTGCGCGGACTCTAATCTGGGAGAACAGAGTTTGATTCCCCCACTCCTCTATTTGCACCTGCTGGATGACCTTGGGCAAGCCGTAGTTCTGGCAGAGCTGTTCTTGAAAAAGTGCAGTTTCTGTCAAGAGCCCTCTCAGCCCCACCTACCTCCCAGGGTGTCTGCTGTGGGGAGGGGGAGGGAAAGGAGTTTGTAAGCCGCTCTGAGAGTCCTTCGGGTAGTGAAGGGCGGGGTCGAAATCCAATCTCTTCTTCTGCTTCTTTGGGAAGCCCCTTTGTTTCACTCTTGCCTCTGTTCAGCCTGAAAGTCCCACAGGTACACTGGGCAGCCGACTGGCTTAGTGTCAGCAAGGTGGTCGTACATCTTCAGCACAGTTGTAGAAGTGGGTTCTGCTCGCCTTCTGAGCCTAATGTGTTCTAGTTTGGCTGTGGAGCCTGGCCAGGATACCCCACGGTCCCTTCAAGAAGTCTGTACAATCTCAGACGTACACAGTACATACACAGATGGATACAAGAACACCCCAGCGTCCAGTGGTTTTGGGGTCCCCGTCGGCTTTTGTCCCTCTGATGCAGCCGCTTCAGGGCCGTGGCCAGGAGTTGGCCCCAGAAGGTTGGACCAGAACCAACAGGTTGAAATGAAATCAGAAGAGTTTTTGGTTTTCTTGACAGAGCAGTTCCTCAGCGGGACAGGCTTCCTCGGGAGGTGGTGGGCTCTCCATCTTTGGAGGTTTTCAAACAGAGGCTTGGTGGCCATCTGAAAGCAGTGCCGATTCTATGAACGGAGGCACCTCGTGAGAAGGGAGGACAGGAAGGGCCGCCTCCTTGCTTAGTTCTTGTGGCCCTTTCTGACGCGCCCAAAAACATGCTGATCGCCACTTCGGGGTCAGGAAGCCATTTTTCTCCAGGCCAGTTTGGCTGCAGATCCTGGAGGGGGGGTTTTTTTATCATCTTTTGGGCGTGGAACAGAGGTCACTGGGAGTGTGTGTGGGGGGGGAGGTGTTTGTGAATTTCCTGCATTGTGCAGGGGGGTTGGACTAGATGACCCTGGAGGCCCCTTCCAACGCTATCATTCTGATTCCCCATGACCCTGTGACCTAAGAGCTCTTTGTTTCAGGCCCATGTGCAGTCCGGGATGGCTCCGTCTCACCCAACTGCCCATGCTCCGATGATGCTCATGACGACCCAGCCGCCGCCCGGTGGAGCCCAAGCCGCCATTGCGCAGAGTGCCCTACAGCACATTCCAGTTTCGACAGCAACACACTTTCCCTATATGGCGCACCCTTCAGGTGAGAGAGGCACATGTGTGACATAACCATGACAGCTCGTGGAGGGGGAGGAATGGGTGTGGATGTGTGGGGTTTGTGTGTCGTGTCCGCCCGTGTCCCCCCCCCCCCCAAAAAAAGAGACTCGAAGCCCAGAGAGTTTATGTCCTCCCAAAACACAGGGCTATGTGTCTGTTTGGCTGGTCGTAATAAACTGCGTCACGTGGATTTTGTTCTGGGTTTTCGATTTTGCACGGACCAGTGTGTGGCCGGGCCACTTGTCCTCTAGGCAGGATAGCTCTTTGCAAAGACGTGCCCTCTGCCTTCTCTGCAGCCCTGGGTGTGTTTACGGAGGTTTACGTTTCCTCCTACCCTCCTTCAACATGCCTGGTGGTGTTAGGTACAAAAGCTCTTAAAAATACATTACGCTGTTATCCAGTCTTTGATATATCTAGAGCAGGCCTTTGAATCCTGGGCTGAATCCTGCCCCCCCCCCCCCCAAAAAAATTGTTTTACTTTCTCTCTGTGTTAAGTGCGCGGACTCTAATCTGGGAGAACTGGGTTTGATTCCCCACGCCTCCACTTGCAGCTGCTGGATGACCTTGGGCAAGCCACAGTTCTGTCAGAGCTGTCCTTGAAAGGGCAGTTTCTCTCAGAGCTCTCTCAGCCCCACCTACCTCACAAGGTGTCAGTTGTGGAGAGGGGAAGGGAAAGGAGTTTGTAAGCCGCTCTGAGACTCCTGGGTAGTGAAGGGCCATGGGGTATAAATCCAACCTCCTCTTCTCCCCTTTTGAAATCACATTTCTGGCCATTGAGCGATGGGCCTTGAGATGCTTGTTTGGTCAAAAGCCCTCTTTTTAAATTTTGCTTTATTGAAGGAGCAGTCACTGAGGCTCATGCCTTTTGGATTTTGGGGTGGGGGTGGGGGAGATTCCCTAGTCCTTGTGAACAGTTTTGGTACCCAGAGCTGTGGACAAGAGTGTAACGCCAGGGGACTGGGCGGGGACCACCGCCTTCGCTCCCTTGAGAGTTTGTCTAGATGCAAGAGTTGTCCTGCTTTGCTCTGTCAATGTCCTTGATGGGCCTGCGATCGCTTCTCTGACGTCGTCGTCTTCTCTCTCCTTCCTTTGCAGTACAAACCCACCATCAACAGCAGCTGTAAAGCTGACCTGCAGTAACTGTGAGGCTGGATCCCGTTTTCTTTTTTTTAGGCCAAATACCTTCCTTCTCCTGCTTCTACCGACTCCGGAAGCACAGAAACAAAACGAAACAAAATGGGGGAAAAATTCTAGTATTTCACTTATTTTTGTTGGGGGGGGAATTCTCATAACAGCTGATAGGAATGCTAACAGTTCACCTTGCAGTGGGAGAGATTTGGACTGAGAATAAGGCATGTAAAAACCTTGTGGGACAATTCCATAATTCCATGTGTTGTGTCAAAAAAGCCCCCCCCACCTTGCCCCGGTTCCGCTTGCAGGAAAAAAAAAAACTGGAAAAGCTATTTATTTTTTAAAACAACCCTTCAGAGTTATAAATTCATCCGCTAGAGAAAGAAGTAACGAGAGTGATTCTTGCTGCTATTCTCACTAAAAAGAAATCAAGAGAAAAATCCCTTTTACTTCTAACTAAACTTGAAAGAGGTTCAGTAAAGTCAAATTCTAATCGTCAAACAGATATGGATTTATTATTTATAAAATCATGTTTGATGAGGGGGAAATCACTGCTGTAAGGCAGTGGTTGGTGTAACTTTTAAGTTAAGAGGAAACTTTTACTTTGTAGATAATATAAAATAAAAACTTTAAAAAAAAATTAAAAATAAAAAAAGTTTTAAAAACTGACCTTCTGTCTGGTGTCTGCCTGGTTTCAACGGGTTGGCTTGGCTGTACTTGGCTTCCCCCACCCCTTAATAGCTTGTAGATGAGGAGGGGGCATCCACTTGGCACTCTTTGGAGAGTAAGCTTGCCTTAGAAACAGCTTCCACAAAAATCTGCAGGGGATATTAAACTTAAAGCAACTGGGCTTACACGAAACTGGAAAATTAACACCAAAAAAAAAAGAGTGATGTTCATCGGGAAGCTTACAGACCAAGATTGCAATTCACTTTTAATCGCCATTGAGCGGAAATGTTCACCATCATACTTAGGGGTTAAATACTGAACGAAATTTGAACTGCTCTATTTGTATGTGCTAACCATCCCCAAATTAAGAAGAGCATACATGGTGGCCCATTGTTTCCTTCTGCACAGATGAAGGGCCGGTTCCAGGGTATGCCTGTTCATCAGCGTTTCTGTGACTGTTCATTGGAGGCTGTAGGCTCCCTCTCCCACATACAGCTGGGAGAGGGGAATTTTTGAGGAAACGGCTACTGAAATGCTCACCCTTCCCGGAACCTGCAAGACTGAGACTCCTGTTGAATAGTTTTCTGTTTTAACTGCATAACAGACTTGGCAAAATTTGGTTTTGCTGTAATTCTAAACCTGTAAACTTTTAAAGGTGTATGGCTTATGGGCTTCTAAACCTAATAAATGAAATGAAATTAAGAAGTACCTCACTGTAGCAGGCAACTGGGTACAAGGCCACCAACTTGAGGATTCTAACTTACAGGCGGCGTAGGTTTTGTGAACAAGTCGCTCAAGGTTCCTTGCACGTAGGATTTTCTGTCCACTCTTAACTTAATGGACAGCTTATGTGTCAAGAGATGTGCGCTTAAGAATGTAACGTAAGAATCAACAAGCCAAATATCCGTCCACCCCAGTGTGTGGTTTCCAGCAGTGAGCAGCCAGATGTCTGTGGGATGTGAACAACCTGACCTCCCCTCCCCTCCCTTTCTTGACATCTGATTTTCAGAGACTAGCAGAGGGTAGAGGTTCTAAAGTGTCAGATTAGGATCTGGGAGACTCGGGTTCAAATCCTTGCCCTGCTGTGGAAGCTAGCTTGGGTGAGAGAGAGAGAGACACACACACACACACACAGACACGCACACATGCGCACGCACACACCCTAACCTCCCTCACAAGGTTGTTGTGAGGATAAAATGGAGAACAGAGCAATGGAAGATAACCGTTTCTGTACATCAAGGTTCCATTTAGCAATTTCTTTTTTAAAAAGCACTAGACACATTTATAGAGGACGTGGCTTCCAAATGCTATCTAAGCGGCCCTCACACAAGGACTTTGGGTACACCGGTGTTTGGAGGTGCAGCTATGCATGACCGCGGGAATGCTATCGTGTAACTTTAGTTGTTCAGTCGCACAGTCAAGTCCGACTCTCCGCGCCCCCATGGACCAGATCACGCCAGGCCTTCCGGTTTTCCACCGTCCTCTGAAGTTGGCTCAATTTCATGGTCGTTGCATCTGTGACACTGTCTAACCATCTCCTCCTTTGCCGTCCCCGTCTTCTTTGACCTTCAATCTTTCCCAGCATCAGGGTCTTCTTCTCCAGTGAGGGCTCCCTTCTCATTGGGTGGCCAAAGTATTTGAGCTTCAGTTTCATTATCTGGCCTTCCAGGGAACAGTCAGGGTTGATTTCCTTTAGGATTGACTGATTTGATCTTCCTGCAGTCCAAGGGACTCTCAAGAGTAACCTTAGTACTCGGGGCTTAAGGCACAGGCTTCAGTTTGTGAAATCTGTTCCCAAGGTATATTTAGACGGTGTTCTGTTTGAAAAGACAAGAGTCACCGGAAAAGACAATCATGCTAGGAAAAGGTTGAAGGCGGCGGGGGAAGAGGATGGACTCAGTCCAGGGAACCCAGAAAGGCCCTCCGCTTGCAAGGCCTGAGCTAGACTGTGAACGACAGGATGTTCTGGAGGACATTAATTCAGAGGGTCGCCATAAGCCGGAAGTAGCTTGACAGCACGGAACATGCACACATTTTCTTTCAATCTCTACGTAGAACGATGGGGCATGGCTTGGTGGTGGAAGAAATAACTGGGACCCGCCGCTGAAAATCTCTAAAAACAGTTTATTTACTGCAGGCGCAGATCTGTGTATTTAATAGTATTCAAGAATAAGTTACACATACAATACATACAGAAACAATATATAGAAAAATTCTACTATACAGGATTGAAAAGAGGACGCGCTTAAACACACATAGTGTGTGTATTTCCTTTACAGGCATACGGTTTTGTTTTGTTTTTCCCATTTCTTTAAAGTAGCAAGCTTGTTATCTGCAAAGTTTCTTTCTTGGATTTAAAAACAAAGGCTGAGACCTGCAATGGAGGAAGTTCTACACCTCGTTCTTGATAAAGCTATTTGCCTTCAGGGATAGACTCGAGGAGCCAACAGATGAACACACGGAACCTTGTTTCAAACTGCACGTTCCGATCTGCTGGCAAAATGGTCTCTCAAGTAGACGGCATTGTGTCCCTGAACACATGCAAAGAGGACGTTCTTCTGAATAGCCTGTTCCCCTCCCTGTGCCTCTGCTGAACAGAACTTTACCTTGCGATGTCTCAACCAATGCTCCCTCTAGGCTGTGGAGACTTGTGAGCAAAAATTCTACTTTGTGAGCTACTGGCATTAAAGCTGTGAGCAAGCAATCTGGCTCCTGCGTGTTAGTTGGCTCTGGAGCCATCCTTCCTGAGCTAAGGCAAAACTGTGTGAGCTGGAGGCTGAAAAACTGTGAGCTAGCTCACACTTAACTCAGTTTAGAGGGAACACTGGTCTCAACACCCAGTAATAGTGAGCCCCGACAAGAACGGCTGTATTGGGGGCAGGCATTGATTGCACGAAGTACCTGGATTGGGGACATAATACCTTTGAGGTCCTTTCTCTCTGGTCTACATGCTGTGTGTTCCTGGTTCCTCTAAGCACATGTCAAAATGGATCCTGGCCATATTCAAAAGCCATTAGGGCCAATTACTTTCAGGGGGTGGCATGTCACAGCCATTTCCCAGAAGGCAAGTTCACATGCACAGTTAGGGTTTTAGTCTAGTAGCGCCTTAAGAGACCCAACAGGCGTTTCAAGGTGTAAGCTTTCAAGACAAGCTCACATCCTGAAACTCGAGTTGTTCTCTTAGGCACTACTGGGCTAAAATCTGTTCTACGGCAGATCAACACAGCTACACTCTGAAACTTGTCTTCACGTGTGCAAGGTGCCACATAATGGAATGACCACTGCAGCTCACAGGCGGGTGCTTTCTTACTATCTAATTCACAGAAGGCAATTCTGGTGTCCCTGGCATGAGGCATCAAGCGTGATAGACCGGCCAGGTGAGATGAGCTCCTTTCAGTTTGGTGTCGTGGTTAAGTGCGCGGACTCGAATCCGGGAGAACCGGGGTTGATGCCCCACTCCTCCACTTGCAGCTGCTGGATGACCTTGGGCAAGCCATAGTTCTCTCAGAGCTGTTCTTGAAAAAGAGCAGTTTCTGTCACTCAGCACCACCGACCTCACAGGGTGTCTGTTGTGGGGAGGGGAAGGGAAAGGGGTTTGTAAGCCGCTCTGAGACTCCCTTGGGTAGTGAAGGTGAGGGTATAAATCCAATCTCCTGGAGCTGGAAACAAACTGTTTGTGCAGCCAAGGCCTCTGAACTTTCTGACTTGTGCATCCTCTGTAAGTGGAGCAGACAGCAGACGACAACGCCGGTGCCTTCTCGCCTGCTTTGGAAAGGACATCCCCAAACGTTCATTCCAAAGAAGGGAGGTCGGGTTGACATCTCGTCTCTTGCACGGGCTGGACCAAAGCTGAGCGGCTGAGCAGGTGCTTTCCCTCTCTTGGCATCTTTCTAAAGAAACACCCTTGTCGGCAGGAACGCCGCAGCATCTTCCACATTTACCTTTCCTCTTCTGTAGGCTGAGCTGAGAGCTGCTTCCCGAGCTGCTCGGCGTGCCGCGAATGAGGTATGTATTTGAGCAGATCTTCTTTGTGGTCTCTGTGCAGTCCCACACATGGGTTTGGGCGCCTGCGCACGACCTCGAGGCGTGGGGCTGCACAGGTGACCCCAAAGAACATCATCAGTTACAGGTAAGCCACCTGTTTTTACTCTTTGCGCCCTGAAAGGCTATTCGATATTCGATACCATCTTCTTCCACTTGGCTTGTGCTGAGCAAACAGTTTTGCAGGAAAGGGGTATAATCAGGGAGCCAGATTGTATGCAACAAGCTTGCTACTTTAACCCCTAAATCTGTTTCCTTTAAAAGAAAAGTTACATAAACGAGCCCTGAAAACTGAGCCGTGTCGCCCCATCCGATGCATTTCATGCAGGAGTGGGCCACACAACATTCAATAAAAGCTTGCTTCTATGTAAGCATAAATAACGTCACTTTCATGGGCAAGGAGGAGACATCTGCCTGGTGGGCAAGGCTTCTAAGGATGTTCGTGCAGAACTCTCTGATTGGGACGAGCCTTCCGAGTAAAGAAATCGGGGGAATGCTACATTTCCATACCGGTTCAAGCTGTCCAATGAAATCATCACTCCCAAGGGGTGGAACCTGGCTGCTTTTAAACTAGGGGTTCCCACACTCTCCTGGCAGATGGAAACTACTTTTTAACCTTGCATTGGGGAGGGGCCCTGGCTCAGTGGCAGAACATCCGCTTGGCATGCAGGAAGTCTCTGTTCAATCCCCGGCATCTCCAGTTAAAAAGGAGGTGGTGTGAAAGACCTCCGCCTCAGCCCAGAGAGAGCTGCTGCCAGTCTGAGTAGATAGTACCAGTGTTCCCTCTAAGCTGAGTTAGTGTGAGCTAGCCCACAGTTTTTTAGCCTCCGGCTCACACATTGTTGTCTCAGCTCAGGAAGGAGGGCTCCAGAGCAAACTAATTGATGCAGGATCCAAACTGCTCACTCACAACTTTAATGCCAGGAGCTCACAAAGTGGAATTTTTGCTCACAAGACTCCACAGCTTAGAGGGAGCGTTGGACAGTACTGTTGATGAGCCAAGGGCCTGATTCCTTGGAAGGCAGCTTCAGGTGCTCAGTTCCAGAGGAAGGACAACCTGAAGGTTCGGCCAAGGCCATTTAATGCTGCCGTATTCTAGCCAGGAGGGCGGGGGAGGCAGATGTGGCTCAAAAGTAAGCAGAGCCCCTCTTAGGAGGTGTGGGAAAGGATGTTTCTTAGCTGGGGCTGCCACTAACTCATAAGTCGTTCCCTACAGTTAAGGCAAGGGTGTGTGTGAAAGCCCTTGGAGAGACAATGCTCTTTTTGTTTTGCAAAGAACGTATGGCTGTATTGCTACCTTGAGCGATAATGACTTCAGCCCCGATGATTCATGGAAGAGCCCAGAAAGTCACTCGGTGTGGGAAAAAAGGGCTAAGACTGTGGAAGTGCAGACAGACTTAGGAGACAGGGGTCAGAATGTCCCCCGGCCACCCCCAAAGATCTGGGATTCGATGGAGACCAAAATTTGACTGAAGCAAAAGAGCGATGTGCAAAAAAAACCCCCAGTAATGAAGAAGAATGCACTGAGTGGGGAGGGGGAGTCTACCAAGAGGACTGGCCCTGTAACAGGCCAAATTGTAGGGTCATCCCCGTGGAGGGATGAGCCTTCACTCTAGCTTACCAAACGCATACCCACCTTTAGTAAGGAAGGGGGGGACGGTCGTGTCTCTTGGCTTTCTGAAATGTTGGCCAAGAGTCCTGTGCAAAAGCGGGGGGAGGGGGGGCTAGCATGTCCCACTGTGTCAAAGGGGCGTGTACTGGTTGTTGACCGCCCGCAAGTGGACCCTGCCTTGCGAGTCCGTCTCGTAATCATTGTCCCACGGGCGGTGCGCGGCGGGTGCGCCGGGCGGCCCCGACAGGCTACCTCTGTGCCACAAGCCTCTGGCCAGCTCCTCCGGTGGGGGCACCAGGTGGAAGATCTGCTCCTCCGAGGAGCTGCGGGTGAGGTCGTCGGCCGGGTGGAGCTGTGGGAAGCCGGCTGGGGGCAGCTGGACGAGGCTGAACTCTGGCCCACAGCGGTGGATGGAGGAGGAAGGTGGGACGAGGTTACCGGAGCCTGCAGGTGGTGGAAGAAAAATGGAGAATGAAAATATCCTCATTTCTTTTCTTTTTTAAAAAGAATTTTATTAGTTTATGTGCAGAGGAAGGGAAAGGGGAAGGAAGGGGGAAAAGGAAAGATACAGAAGTGTGTGTGTGTGTATACAGGGCTCATTTCCTGCAGGAGCGCACAGGAGTGGAGTAAAGAGCCCAGGAGGCAGGCACATGCAACAAGCCCCACCCCCTGCTCCCAGCAGCCCTCAGTCAGAGCAAGAAGCAGCCAGGTAAGTTGCAGAGCCAAAACAGTCCAGTGGCACCTTTAAGACCAAGTTTTATTCAGGTACAAGCCCCCCCCCCCCAATAGCTAGCAATCCAAAACAGTCCCGTGGAGCCTGAGCGGTGGGTGTTGCCTTCTGACACACCTCCGGTGATGTCAGGGGGCGTGGCATATGCAAATAAGTTATGCTAATTAGTTATGCTAATGAGCTCCTGCACCTCTTTTTCTACGAAATGACCCCTGTGTATGTGTGTGTGTATATACACACATACACACACAAATCCAATTTAATATTCTGCATGCAAGTCTTCTCAATTGAACTTCACAACTACTACATCTATCATTCTTATTGTTCTTCATTTAATCTCATTTTCTCAGTACCTAAGTTTTAACCAGTCATAAAACGCCCTCCAAGGTCCCATAAATTCTTCTTCCATTTTTCCTTTTAATATATTTGTGAATCTGTCCATTTCAGCACCTTCCATAAACTTCAATATCAACTCATAGAACATTGGGATCTTCAATGTCCTCCATGTCGTTGCGAATGAAATTCTGGCTGCTGTTATAACATGTGAAATAAAGTATCTATGGTTCTTATCTAAGTCATCTGGTAAAACAGCTTAACAGCAATGTCTCTGGCTTAAAAGGTATTGTAATATTCAAGGCTGACTGTAAGAAAGCATGTACTTCAATCCAATATTCATGAACTTTTTACATGTCCACCACATATGGTAGTATGGTCCAACATGACTGTTACATTTCCAACACCTGTTACCCATGTTTTTATACATTTTAGCTAATCTATCTGGGGTTAGACGCCATCTATAGAACATTTTATATAGATTTTCTTTGAATGAAACAGATTTAGTCAACTTAATATTCACTTTCAATATTTAACTCCACTGTGACAGATCTATGTTATAACCCACATTTCGCATCCACCTAACCATACATTATTTATTTCTGTGGCACGGTGCCCATGAACTCGAAGCTTAAAACAAAAATAAAGTTCTGACGTCAGGTCCTCCTTGCCTACCCGGGCTAAATCGCACAACTGCAGCATACCTGCCTGTACTACCCCTCCCCAGCTCTGGTAGTTACGGAGAAGGGAAAAGAACTGGAGGCCCCCTCCTACCTTCGCTGACCGTCTGACTCAGCCACGGCACTGAATTCGCAATGCCTGCCCACGCGGACTGTGTTAGTCAAGAGGGTCAGACGCTTTCCTTAAAAAAATGCGATCGAGGCTCGGGAAGCTGCGTTCTGCACCCAGACGCACACGTGGGGCTCCTGCCCGCACACCGTGCTGGCATGTTTCTTGGGGAAAGGAACAGAGGCCCTGTCTGGTCTTGGATCAGGACGACCCGCAGTCTGCATCCGTCAACAACACATCTGGCGCAACAGCTCTGCCTCCGGTTTCCCTTTGGCACAAAGTGTTCTACCGTTTTTCACCTCTTCTGGAGGAACAAGTGCCGCTGCCAACTACGGACAGGACTGGGGTGGCACTGAAGAGGCACCCGGCCCTAGGTGGTCCAGGTTGGCCTGATCTCATTAGATTTCAGAAGTAGGGATGTGCATTCGGTTCGTCTGAACCGAATGCATCCCCAAAAATGGCCCATTCGGGCCCCTTTCGGGATGCTGCGGGCCGATTCAGATTCTCTGGTCTGAATCGGCTTGCCGCTGAATTGCCGCCGAATTTCGGTAGCAATTCGGCCCCATTATATCCTATGGGCCATTGAAGTCCATGGCAAAAATAGGGTATATTCTGGGGGCTGGAGGGGAGGTGGTTTGAGGGAGAGGCTCCAAATTTGCAGGGTAGTTGCTGGGGCCTTTCCCCAAGATACCCACCAGGTTTCAAGAACATTGAACAAGGGGGTCCAATTCTACGGGCCCCCAAACAGGTTGCCCCCATCCCCTCCATTGTTCTCTATGGTGGGAATTTTTTTTTTTGCACACCCCTACTCAAGAAGCTACTAAGGATGACCCTGGTTAGTATTTGGATGGGAGACCAAGGATGTCCAGGGGCACTACACAGAGGCAGGCCATGGCAGACCACTTCTGAACGTCCCTTGCACTGAACGTCTCTTGCTAAGCTGGGTTGGACCTGGTTAGTTAGTCCTTGGATGGGAGACCCACCAAGGGAGTCCAGGGTTGCTACGCAGAGGCAGGCAAAAGGCAAAACCACCTCTGGACGTCTCTTGCTTTGAAAACCCTAAGGGGTCGCCCTACGTCGGCTGCGACAGGACGCCCAATGGATCCTTTATTCCCCACTTGCTTCTTCTTGCTGTCCCGAGAGCGAGTGACAGACGCAGCCCATCCCCAAAGCCTCAGCACCTTCATCACGCTCCCATGCCTCCGGTGGCCATTGCTGGCCTACCAATCATCTGAGAAAGAAATGACATTTAATTGACAAAGAAAGGTCCCTCGCCGTTGACTGCCTTGACAGATGCAGCTCTTTGCCGGCCTCCCCCGCTGATGCCAGTACCAAGAAAAGGGCGGTGAGGCGGGGCTGTGGCTCAGTGGCAGAGCCTCTGCTTGGCATGCAGAAGGTCCCAGGTTCAGTCCCCGGCATCCCCAGTTCAAAGGACCAGGCAGGAGGCGATGCTGAAAGACCTCAGCTGGAGACCCTGGAGAGCTGTAAAGGGGGCCGTGGCTCAGTGGCAGAGCCTCTGCTTGGCATGCAGAAGGTCCCAGGTTCAGTCCCCGGCATCCCCAGTTCAAAGGACCAGGCAGGAGGCGATGCTGAAAGACCTCAGCTGGAGACCCGGGAGAGCTGTAAAGAGGGGGTGTCGCTCAGTGGTAGAGCCTCTGCTTGGCATGCAGAAGGTCCCAGGCTCAATCCCTGGCAGCATCTCCAGTTAAAAGGACAAGGCAGGAGAAGATGCTGAAAGACCTCCACCTGAGACCCTGGAGAGGTGCAAAGAGGGGCTGTGGCTCAGTGGCAGAGCATCTTCTTGGCATGCAGAGGGCCCCAGGTTCGATCCCCGGCATCTCCAGTTATCTGGTGACACAGGTGATGTGAAAGACCTCAGCCGGAGACACTAAAGAGCTGCAAGGGGCTGTGGCTCAGTGGTAGAGCATCTGCTTGGCATGTAGAAGGTCCCAGGTTCAGTCCCCAGCATCTCCAGTTAAAAGGACCAGGCAGGAGAAGATGCTGAAAGACCTCCACCTGAGACCCTGGAGAGCTGCAAAGAGGGGCCGTGGCTCAGTGGCAGAGCATCTGCTTGGCATGCAGAAGGTCCCAGGTTCAATCCCTGGCAGCGTTTCCAGTTAAAAAGGACCAGACAGAAGGAGATGCTGAAAGACCTCCACCTGAGACCCTGGAGAACTGTAAAGAGGGGCCGTGGCTCAGTGGCAGAGCATCTGCTTGGCATGCAGAAGGCCCCAAGTTCAATCCCCGGCATCTCCAGTTAAAAGGAACAGGCAGAAGGAGATGCTGAAAGACCTCCACCGGAGACCCTGGAGAGCTGTAAAGAGGAGCTGTGGCTCAGTGGCAGAGCATCTGCTTGGCATGCAGAAGGTCCCAGGTTCAATCCCCGGCAGCATCTCCAGTTAAAAAGGACCAGACAGAAGGAGATGCTGAAAGACCTCCACCTGAGACCCTGGAGAACTGTAAAGAGGGGCCATGGCTCAGTGGCAGAGCATCTGCTTGGCATGCAGAAGGCCCCAAGTTCGATCCCCGGCATCCCCAGTTCAAAGGACCAGGCAGAAGGAGATGCTGAAAGACCTCCACCTGAGACCCTGGAGAGCCGCTTCCAGTCTGCGTAGACAAGACTGACTTTGGTGGACCGACCCGTCTGATTCACAACAAACCAGCTCAAGGTACGAGGCCTTTTCCTACGACCTCTGCGTGTTTTCTGTCCGTAGTCAGTTCTTGTAACCCGCAGACTGGAAAGCTGAGCTACGACTCCCCCTCCCAAAGAGAAAAGAGGCACCCACGCTCTGCTGCGTACCTAAGCCAAAGCGGGAGGACTGTGTGGGTTGTAAAAGATCCATTCACATTCCACACACACACACACACACAAAATCGACCGCCGGTCCCACTGCAGTCGGGAGTTTCCGCTTTCCTTCTGAGCAGCCAAAGGGAAGAGCAAGCAGGAACCCTTGCTGCAAACAGGGAGGGGGTTTTCCTCCCCAGTTACTTGGAGCCAGTGGGACTCTCCAGCAAGTGCGCTGCGCACCCCGCCCCGCTGGCCACAGAAGGCCACGTGCCCGAGACGGCCCCGCCAGCAGCCCCCTCGCCCCTCTCACCTTGGGTGTGCGGGACAACCACCATGTAGCTCGACAGGCGCACGTCGCAGGGGGCCCCGCATTCCAGAGGGATGGGATACCGTTGGAAATGGATCAACATGTCCATGATGGAGGGGAAGTGGAGGTGCTGGACGCGGCACTGGCCCCGCTCCGTCAGCGAGAGCCGCAGGTGCTGCCAAGGAAGCAGAAGGGGGACACGTTACCCAACGGTGACCGACTCTGTTGTGGGGATTCCGCACAGACCGAAGAGGGAGAGCCCACGTGCCTTCTCTTTTCCCACTAGAAAACGCCACTTTCTAGACAGCCCCCCCCCCAATTCCTAATGTTATTTATTTTCAGTATTTATACCCCCACCTTTGTGCACGTACTCTAATCTGGGAGAAGCGGGTTTGACTCCCCACTCCTCCACTTGCACCTGCTGATGTGACCTTGGGTCAGTCACAAGAAGAAGAAGAAGAGATTGGATTTATACCCCGCCCTTCACTACCCAAAGGTGTCTCAGAGCGGCTTACAAACTCCTTTCCATCCCCCTCCCCACAACAGACACCCTGTGAGGGAGGTGGGGCTGAGAGAGCTCTGACAGAAACGGCTCTTTTTCAAGAACAGCTCTTATCAGGACTATGGCTTGCCCAAGGTCACCCAGCAGCCGTGAGTGGAGGAGTGGGGAATCAAACCCGGTTCTCCCAGATTAGAGTTTACGCACTTAACCACGACACCAAACTGGCTCTCAGAAGAAGAAGAGATTGGATTTCTACCCCGCCCTTCACTACCCACAGGCGTCTCAGAGCAGCTTGCAAACTCCCTTCCCTTCCCCTCCCCACAACAGACACCCTGGGAGGCAGGTGGGGCTGAGAGAGCTCTAAGAGAAACTGCTCTTTTTCAAGGACAGCTCTTATCAGAACTACGGCTTGCCCCAGGTCATCCAGCCAGGTGCAAGTGGAGGCGTGGGGAATCAAACCTGGTTCTCCCAGATTAGAGCCCGCGCACTTAACCACTACACCAAACTGGCTCTGGCACAGCTGCTCCTGAAAGAGCCGTTTCTGTCAGAGTTCTCTCAGCCCCACCCACCTCCCAGCGTGTCTGTTGTGGGGAGAGGGAGGGGAAGGAGTTTGTAAGACGCTCTGAGACTCTGAGTGAAGGGCGGGGTATAATTCCAATCTCTTCTTCTTCTTCTTCTCCCAGGACCCAAGGCAGATCCTGCTGCGGTCAGAAGATCTAGAAGTCCTTCCCGTCAAACTAGAGGGCCTAGACTCTCCCCCGTAGTTGCTGGGACTTTCATAATGTTGCTTGTTTTAAAAACTGGAGATAAAAGTGGACTGGAGAACTTCTGGTCTGACAGTGCAGCCTAGAACCTCTGGGCTGATAGCCAGTTTGGTACTGAGAGACAGTTTGGTGTAGTGGCTAGGAGCGCGGACTCTAATCTGGGAGAACCGGATTTGATTCCCCACTCCTCCACATGCAGCTGCTGGTGTGACCCTGGGTCAGTCACAAGTTCTCTCACTGCTGTTCTGGAAAGAGCAGTTTTTGAGAGAGCTCTCTCAGCCCCACCTACCTCACAGGCAGTGTTCCTCTAAGCTGAGTGAGTGTGAGCTAGCTCACAGTTTGTTAGCCTCCGGCTCACACATTTTTGCCTTTGCTCTAGAAGGGCTCCAGCACAAACTAATTTATGCAGCAGCCAAATCGCTGGCTCACCACTTTAATGCCAGGAGCTCACAAAGTAGAATTTTTGCTCACAAGACTCCAGAGCTTAGAGGGAGCATTGCTCCAAGGGCGTCTGTTGTGGGGAGGGGAAGGGAACTGTAAGCCGCTCTGAGACTCCTTCGGATAGTGAAGGGTGGGGTATAAATCCAGTATCATCTCCTTCTAGAACTCAACAAAAGAACATAAGAACATAAGAGATGCCAATGTTAGATCAGGCCAAAGGCCCATCCAGTCCAACACTCTGTATCACACAGTGGCCAGAAATACCAGTGCCATCAGGAGGTCCAGCAGTGGGGCCAGGACATTAGAACCCCTCCCCCGGTTGACCCCCCCCAAGCACCAAGATGACAGAGCATCACTTGCCCCAGAGTCCCTATCTATACCTTGTGGCTAATAGCCACCGATGGACCTCTGCTCCATATGCTTATCCAATTCCCTCTTATAAGAACATAAGAGATGCCAATGTTGGATCAGGCCAAAGGCCCATCCAGTCCAACACTGTATCACACAGTGGCCAGAAATACCAGGTGCCGTCAGGAGGTCCTGCAGTGGGGCCAGGACACTAGAAGCCCTCCCACTGTTGCCCCCCCCCAAGCACCAAGAAGACATAAGAACATAAGAACATAAGAACATAAGAGACGCCAATGTTGGATCAGGCCAAAGGCCCATCCAGTCCAACACTCTGTGTCACACAGTGGCCAGAAATACCAGTGCCATCAGGAGGTCCAGCAGTGGGGCCAGGACATTAGAAGCCCTCCCACTGTTGACCCCCCCCAAGCACCAAGAAGACAGAGCATCACTTGCCCCAGAGCCCCTAGCTATACCTTGTGGCTAATAGCCACTGATGGACCTCTGCTCCATATGCTTATCTAATTCCCTTTTGAAGCCATCCATGCTTGTAGCACCCACCACTTCCTGTGGCAGTGAATTCCAAGTGTTAATCACTCTTTGGGTGAAGAAGTACTTCCTTTTATCCATTCTAACCCGACCGCTCTGCAGTTTCATGGAGTGCCCACGAGTTCTTGTATTGTGAGAAAGGGAGAAAAGTACCTCTTTCTCTACCTGCTCTTTCCCATGCATAATCTTATAAACCTCGATCATGTCACCCCTCAGTCGTCTTTTCTCCAAGCTAAAGAGCCCTAAGCGCTTTAACCTTTCCTCATAGGGAAAGTGTTCCAACCCTTTTATCATTCGAGTTGCCCTTTTCTGCACTTTTTCCAAAGCTATAATATCCTTTTTAAGGTGTGGTGACCAGAACTGCACACAGTATTCCAAATGAGGTCTCACCATTGATTTATATAGGGGCATTATTATATTGGCTGATCTGTTTTCAATACCCTTCCTAATAATCCCCAGCATAGCATTGGCCTTCTTTATTGCAGTCACACACTGTCTCGACATTTTCAGTGAGTTATCCACTACAACTCCAAGATCTCTCTCTTGCTCAGTCTCTGCCAGTTCAGACCCCATCAATGTGTATTTATATTTAGGATTTTTGGCTCCAATGTGCATCACCTTGCACTTGGCCACATTGAACCCCATTTGCCATGTTGACGCCCACTCGCCCATCCTTGACAGATCCCCTTGGAGTGCCTCACAATCCTCACTGGTTTTCACCACCCTGAACAACTTTGTATCATCCGCAAATTTAGCCACTTCACTGCTTACTCCCATCTCCAAATCATTAATGAACAAGTTAAAAAGCAGTGGACCAAGTACTGATCCCTGCGGTACCCCACTGCTTACCACCCTCCACTGAGAAAATTGCCCACCTACACTCACTCTCTGTTTTCTATGAACTAGCCAGTTTTTGATCCATAAAAGGACTTGTCCTTCTATCCCATGATTTTTGAGCTTACTTAGGAGCCTTTGATGAGGAACTTTATCAAAAGCTTTCTGGAAGTCAAGGTAAATAATATCTATTGGATCCCCCTTGTCCACATGTTTGTTCACCCCCTCAAAGAACACTAACAGGTTAGTGAGACAAGATCTTCCCTTACAGAAACCGTGCTGAGTCTGCCTCAATAGGTTTTGTTCATCTATGTGCCTACTAATTCTTTCCTTAATAATGGTTTCCACCAATTTACCCGGTATCGACGTCAGACTGACTGGCCTGTAATTTCCCGGATCTCCTCTGGAACCCTTTTTAAAGATGGGAGTGACATTAGCTACCTTCCAATCCTCAGGAATGGAGGCAGATTTTAAGGAAAGATTACATATCTTTGTCAGGAGATCTACAAGTTCACATTTGAGTTCTTTCAGAACTCTCGGATGTATGCCATCTGGGCCTGGTGATTTTTCAGTTTTTAAGTTGTCTATCAGTTTTAGGACCTCCTCTCTCATCACCTCAATCTGACTCAGGTCTTCCAACACCCCTCCTGAAATCAGTGGTTCTGGAGTGGGCAAGCACTTCTCATCTTCCACAGTGAAGACGGAGGCAAAAAATGCATTTAGCTTCTCAGCCATTTCCCTATCATCCTTCAATACTCCTTTTACCCCTTGGTCGTCCAAGGGCCCCACTGCCTCCCTGGCTGGTTTCCTGTTTCTAATGTATTTGAAGAAAGTTTTATTGTTGGTTTTTACGTTTTTTGCTATATGCTCCTCATATTCCCTTTTTGCCTGCCTGACCTCAGACTTGCATTTTATTTGCCATAGCCTGTGTTCCGTTTTATCAGCCTCACTGTGACTAGCTTTCCACTGCTTAAAGGAATTCTTTTTACTTTTTACAGCCTCCATTACTCTGTTTGTTAACCATGCAGGCTTTTTCCTATACCTGTTTGTGCCTTTCCTAACCTGCGGAATATATATTTTTTGAGCTTCTAGGATCGTAGTTTTAAATAGATCCCAAGCTTCCCCAATTGTTTTGACCCTTTCTACTTTTCCTTTCAGTTTCCTCCCCACGTGTCCCCTCATATCAGAGAAATTACCCCTTTTAAAGTTAAAAATGGTTGTGTGAGTCTTTTTGGCCAATTCTCTATTTGTACAAATGATGAACTCAACAACATTATGATCACTGTTTCCAAGCGGTGCAATCACTTTTACATCTCTCACCAGGTCTTGAGTGTTACTTAGGACCAAATCAAGGATCGCCTCTCCCCTGGTAGGTTCCGTGACCATCTGCTCCATAGCACAGTCATTTAGAGTGTCTAGAAACTCAATCTCTTTTTCCCGACTAGAACACATATTGACCCAATCAATGTGTGGGTAGTTAAAATCACCTATTATTACACAGTGTTTTTGTCTAGTTGCTATCTTTAAGGCATTCATCATTTTATAATCCTCCTCTATCTTTTGATCTGGTGGGCGATAACAAACTCCCAGTGTTAAGTTTCCTTTTGGCCCCCCTATTTCAACCCATAGAACTTCCAGAAGCGAATCCAATTCACTTAGCCTCTCAATCTTTCTAGACTTTATACCCTCTCTGACATACAGAGCTACCCCACCTCCAACCCTTCCCCCCCTATCCTTCCGATATAATATATAACCGGGAATCACTGTGTCCCACTGATTTTCCTCATCCCACCAAGTTTCAGAAATACCCACAATGTCTATTTTTCCCTCCGACACCAAGCACTCCAACTCCCCGATTTTACCTCGGACACTTCTAGCATTTGTATAGAAACAGCTGTAATTTCCCTTACAAGTTAAGCCTGCATCCTTCCTCTTGCTATCTCGAGTCGTTGTCCGGCAGTCCATGTCACCAGCCATGGCCTCTGTGGACAATTTCAATCCACCTCCCTGTAGAAAAGCAACCGGTACCCCCTCACCTCTCTCAGATGAGCCAACCCGAACCAGAGACTTTTCATCTCCTGTCGGCTTTCCCCCAATATTCAGTTTAAAAGCTGCTCTGCCACCTTTTTGATTTTAAGTGCCAGCAGCCTGGTTCCTTCTCGGGACAAGTGGAGACCGTCTCGCCTGTACAGCTCCCTCTTGTTCCAAAAAGTATCCCAGTGCCTAACAAACCTGAACCCTTCCCCCCTACACCATCGTCTCATCCACGCATTGAGACTCCTGATCTCTGCCTGTCTCTCCGGCCCTGCGCGTGGAACAGGTAACACTTCTGAGAAGGCTACCTTGGAGGTCCTGGACCTAAGTTTCCTGCCCAGCAGCCTAAATTTCTCCTCCAGGACCTCACGACTGCATTTCCCCACATCGTTGGTGCCGACATGCACCACGACCACTGGCTCCTCCCCAGCACTATCTACCAGCCTATCTAAAACACGCGTAATGTCCGCTACCTTCGCACCAGGCAGGCAAGTCACCATACGGTCAGTACGCGGGTTCGCCACCCAGCTGTCTACCTGCCTAAGGATCGAATCACCCACTACCAAGAGCCCCCCTCCCACCCTGCTCAGGGATGGTTCCTTGGTGCAAAAGGAGAGCCGCTCACCAGCTGGGGAAGAGGTCCCTTCTGAGGGCACATTCCCCTTATCCTCAGCATGGTGCCCTGTTTCCCCTAGACCCTCATGCTCCCTGACAGCAGCGGGGCTGCCAGATCCAGAGTGGGACGAAGCTAACAAGTCCCCGAGAGTCTTTTCTGTGTGCCTAGCTGACTGTCTCTGCTTCTCCAGGTCAGCCACCTTGGCCTCAAGGGAGCACACACGTTCCCTGAGAACCAGGAGCTCCTTGCACCGAGGACACACCCAAGACTTCTGCCCAGTGGGCAGATAGTCATACATGTGACACTCCGTGCAAAACACTGGATAGCCCCCAACCCCCTGCTGGCATTCTGGCTTCATAATTCTTTTAAAATAAATAAATATAATCCCCCTTTTAAACCCTTGGTATTTATGTGGGTTTTGTTATCAAGTCAAATTATTTTACGGGAAAGACAAAGAGCCTAGGGCCTTGTCTTTCTGGCTCTTTTTGGGCTTCTTACAGCGCCCCTAGTCTAAGAGTCCCTAGGCTAAGAGCCACAGGCAAAGAGCCCTTTAGCTCACCCTTCGGCTCGTGCCAGAGGCTCGTGCCTCTGCCAAGGTGCTTCCTTAAATAGAGGCCTCCCCCAGCAGAGGTCAGGCAGCAGCTATTCAAATTCAAATTCACCCAGGCACTCAATCACAGGCAAAACAATGCCCCTTCCACTTCCTCTCAATTACAGGCAATCCCAGTCAAACAATGCCCGTTCCTCTCCCACACTCAATCAGCCAGGACTCTGCAAGAACTCTAAGTGCTTCCACACACTGCTAAACACAGTTTTCCCACAAAATATCCTTAGCTGAATTCTCTCCGCTGAAAGCAAGTAAAAGAAACCCACTCACCTCTCTCACAGCTCTCTCTCCTGCTCCTGCTCAGAGCTCAGCTGGTCTGAGCATCACTCGCCCCAGAGCCCCTATCTATACCTTGTGGCTAAGAGCCACTGATGGACCTCTGCTCCATATGCCTATCTAATTCCCTTTTGAAGCCGTCCATGCTTGTAGCCGCCATCACCTCCTGAAATCCAGTTCTGCAGATTTTGCCTGGGAAGTCAGGCTCTGTGCTTATTCTCAGCGTTATCCGCTGATTCAGCGAAAGGAAAACAATTCCCCGGTCCTTGCCGGCGGGTGGTTTACCTTTGCTCTCCCTTGGAAGTTGAAGGTGAGGACGTACTCTCCCCGGCGGGTTTCGCTCTGCCGGATGAGGAAAACCCCGTGACCTTCCAGTCCTTGCAGCTGGACCAGCTGGGCAGCTTTGACGCGGGAAATGGGCCCGTGGAACCAGGGGTAGGATGCCAGGAACTGGTCTGTCTTCGGGCAGGGTTGCTCCGAGGGGCCGGACTGCGTTGCGCCTGGGAGGGAGGAAAGTGGGAGCCCTGCTCAGTCAGAGGACAGAACTGCCGTGTGACATTTCAAACCCGCCGGAGGACCAAAGCGAGAATTCCAGACGCGGGCAAGGGAGACGGACATCGTCTTGAGAGCGCCCTCTTCTTTGAGAGCACCAGAAACGCCCTGGGAGTACAATTTTTCAAAATGACAACACGCTGGCACGGCACTCCACACAGACTTCATCGTATGAACGCGAACTACAACGCGTTGTGCTGGGGAAACTGTGGTGCTTCAGGTGACTATTTACATGGTTGGTGGGAATGCCAACAATCTGCAACGATTTTGGCAGGTCATACAGGAAATAAACAGAATCGCATCACAAACGCTACCGATCAGCCCAGAATTCACACTCCTAAATTTGGTTGACTCAACGGTTGAGAGCATTAAACCCACGGCGCTTGCAGCGACATCACTAGCGGCGGCTAGGTTGACAATAGCAACGGTCTGGAACTCCCCGAAGCCTCCAATGATTGATACACGGTAGAACACAATCTGGGACCAATTCATTATGAGCAAGATTTCGAGCTCTCTTGGATACTCTCATAAGTCCGGCAAGTTACACTCTAAATTTATATGCACTTGGTTCCCAGTCCTGGAATACATGTCAAACAGGGATCTTCTTCCCTCTAACCCAGTGATGGCGAACCTTTTAGAGACCGAGTGCCCAAGCTGCAACCCAAAACCCACTTATTTATCGCAAAGTGCCAGCACGGCAATTTAACCTGAATACTGAGGTTTTACTTTAGAAAAAACAACTCATACATTAACTTAAGATGACCCAAACAAAGTAAGGAAAGCAATCCCAAATGCTTTCATTTACTTAAAATTATTTGGCAGAGAATTTGACACTTTAATGATGGTCTGGGCCTGGCTGGGGCGATGGCACGCGTGCCCACAGAGAGGGCTCTGAGTGCCACCTCTGGCACCTGTGCCTTAGGTTCGCCACCACTGCTCTAACCCATGTCAGCCTCAACCTTTAACTTTACTCTTTGACTTCGTCTTGAGGCCCCTGGTGTTAGACTAACCCCCCTTCTCCTTTCTGCATTGGGAAAAGTGCAGAAAACAGCAACTAGGATGATAAAAGGGTTGGAACACTTTCCCTATGAAGAAAGGTTAAAACGCTGGGGGCTCTTTAGCTGGGAGAAACGACGGCTGAGGGGTGACATGATCGAGGTTTATAAGATTATGCCTGGGATAGAGCAGGTGGAGAAAGAAGTAATGTTCTCCCTTTCTCACAATACAAAAACTTGTGGGCACTCCATGAAATTGCTGAGCGGTCAGGTTAGAATGGATAAAAGGAAGTCCTTCTTCACCCAAAGAGTGATTAACACATGGAGTTCACTGCCACAGGAGGTGGTGGCAGCTACAAGCATGGATGGCTTCAAAAGGGAATTAGATAAGCATATGGAGCAGAGGTCCATCAGTGGCTATTAGCCCAAAGGTATAGATAGGGACTCTCCGTCTGGGCCAAGGGATGCTCTGTCTTCTTGGTGCTTGGGGGAGGGGCAACAGTGGGAGGGCTTCTAGTGTCCTGGCCCCTCTGCTGGACCTCCTGTGGGCACCTGGTATTTTTGGCCACTGTCTGACACAGAGTGTTGGACTGGATGGGCCATTGGCCTGATCCAACATGGGCTTCTCATGTTCTTAGAACAACACTTGTCAAAAGGCTCTAGCTCAGAGGTCCCCAATCATGGGGTTCCCGCGGGTGCCACGGTTGCCCGTCAACTCCTTTTCTGGTGCCCGCCAAGTGTTTTGAGGAAGTGGGTGGGGCCAGGGAGGGCTTTTGCCCAGCAAGGCTCTGATTGGAGATTTTGCTGTGCAGAATTTTTGAGAAAATTGCCTTGGCAGCAGCTGCCGCCCCAGCACATGGATCTGCACAGTGCGACTCAAGCTCAGCTGTGGCAATCGTTTCATGGCTGGCTGGCCTCCTGCAGCAGCCATTTTGCCGCTCGGAAATTCCACCGTGCCGTCTCGGAATTCCAAACGCACCCGCAGGCTCGAACTGGTCGGGGACCCCGGCTCTAGCTGGAAAGGAGTGCATTTATTTATTTAAGATGTGTATCAGTCGCCTTTCTCCCTTATGGAGTTTAAGGAGGCTTGCGACACAGATAAAACGACATAAGAACATAAGGGAAGCCAATACTGGATCAGGCCAGTGGCCCATCCAGTCCAACACTCTGTGTCACACAGTGGCCAAAAATACCAGGGGCCATCAGGAGGTCCACCAGTGGGGCCAGGACACTAGAAGCCCTCCCACTACTGACCCCCCCCCCAGAACCAAGAATACAGAGCATCCCTTGCCCCAGATCGAGAGTTCCCATCTATTCCTTGTGGCTAAATAGCCACTGATAGGCCTCTGCTCCAGATGTTTATCCGATTCCGTCTTGAAGCCGTCTGTGCTTGTGGCCGCCGCCACCTCCTGTGGCAGTGAATCCCATATGTTCATCACTCTTTGGGTGAAGAAGGACTTCCTGTTATCCATTCTAACAGAAATCTCATTGAGTGCCCACAAGTTCTTGTATTGTGAGAAAGGGAGGAAAGTACCTCTTTCTCTACCTGCTCTATCTCAAGCATAATTTTATAAACCTCGATCATGTCACCTCTCAGTCCTCGTTTCTCCAAGCTAAAGAGCCCGAAGCACTTTAACCTTTCCTCATAGGGAAAGTGTTCCAACCCTCTGATCATTCTAGTTGCCCTTTTCTGCAATTTTCCCAATGCTATGATAACCTTTTTGAGGTGTGGTGACCAGAACTGGACACAGTACTCCAAATGGGGTCGCACCATTGATTTATACAGGGGCATAAGATAAAATAAAATAAAATACATAACATAAAAACATTTTATAAAACATAAAAACAAGGATTTTAGCATCCCAAATCAGGACTGCTACTAAACGTAACCAAATGCGGTCCTAAATACAAACGCCTTCAGCTGCCTTCTGAAGATCGAGAGGGAGGGGGCCAGATGCACTTCTGTAATTGCGGGGCCGCCCCCAAAAAGGCCCCGTCATGTGTACCCGCCACATGCATGCAATTAAAACTAAGGTTAACGCTACATTTTAAATGGCGGTGTCGTTGGACTCTGGGGAGCTTCCAGCTGATAGCCTGCACGTGCTTCCAGAAGGCTCGACAGCCTGGGCCTAGTTCTGGCTTCCGTTACTTTTTTGCCGAAAGATGCCAGAGGGGGAAGGAGCGAAGCGGGAGGACCCAGAAGCTGGGGTTGCAGGTACCTTGGTTAAGAGAGTCGATGCTGCTGTTTGTGGGGCTCGCGGTCACGGCTTCTGAGAGTGACTCTGAGTTCAGTTCAAGATCTGACCTGAGAGAGAAGGAGAGAAAGAGATGGTTGGTGCTCTGCATTCTGTCTTAGAAGAATACATGGCATTTGTGACACTCGTGTGTGTGTGTTACATGCCGTTAAGTTACTTCCAAGTCAGGATGACCCTATGAATTAAGGACCTCCAAAATGTCCAGTGCTTAGCAGCCTTGCTCCGGTCTTGCAAACAGAGGGCCTTTTGTGGGTTCCTTGATGGAGTCCATCCATCTTGGGCTAGGTCCTCCTCTTTTCCTGCCGACTCTGACTTTCCCTAGCATTACTGTCTTTTCGAGAGCCAGTCTGGTATAGTGGTGAAGTGCGCAGACTCTAATCTGGGAGAACCGGGTTTGATTTCCCACTACTCCACATGCAGCTGCTGGATGACCTTGGGCAAGCCACAGTTCTGTCAGAGCTGTCCTTGAAAAGTTTCTGTCAGAGCTCTCTCAGCCCCACCTGCCTCCCAGGGTGTCTGCTGTGGAGAGGGGAAGGGAAAGGAGTTTGTAAGCCGCTCTGAGACTCCGAGTGAAGGGAGGGGTATAAATCCAATCTCTTCTTCTTCTTCCTCGTGACTCCTGTCTTCTCATGATGTGATCAAAGTACGAAAGCCTCCATGAAGAAGAAGAAGAGGAGGAGGAGGAGATTGGATTTATACCCCGTCCTTCACTACCCAAAGGAGTCTCAGAGCAGCTTACAATCTCCTTTCTCTTCCCCTCCACACAGCAGGCACCCTGTGAGGTAGGTGGGGCTGAGAGAGCTCTTTCTGCTCCTGAGAGAACAGCTCTGAGAGAACTTGTGACTGACCCTAGATCCCCCAGCTGGCTGCATGTGGAGGAGTGGGGAACCAAACCCAGTTCTCCCAGATTAGAGTCCACGCTCCTAACCATGACACCAAACTGACTCTCTTTTTTGCTGAAAGATGCCAGAAGGAGAAGATACCCCCAAGAGGCCAAGCCCAACCAAGCATCCCACAAACAATGCTCCTTCTAAGCTGTGGAGTCTTGTGAGCAAAAATTCTACTTTGTGAGCTCCTGGCATTAAATTTTTGAGCGAGCGATCTGGCTACTGCATAGATTAGTTTGCTCCGGAGCCCTCCTTCCTGAGGTAAGACAAAAATGTGTCAGCCAGAGGCTAAAAAACTGTGAGCTGGCTCACACTAACTCAGCTTAGAGGGAGCACTGCCCACAAAGTCCTTTTAGTCATTTTAACTTCTAGGGGAGAGCTCAAGCTTGATTTGATCTAGATTTGTCTTTTTTTGGGGGGGGGGGGTGTCCGCAGTTTGCTACTTTCTGCCAGTAATGTGGTGTCGCCTGCGTATCTCAAACAGCTAATGCCCCTTCCACCACTTTTCACTCCACCCTCATCGAAATCGAATCCAGCTTCCCTTAGGATATGTTCTGCATACGGACTGAACAGGCCAGGAGATAAAGCGCTGTGCTTGCAGGGCTCAAAGTGCCACACACACACAATCATGGTAATCCACACAACAGCCCTGTGAAGGAGGCCAGAGAGAAAATGCTGACCCCCCGGCCACCCTGAAATGAGATTTCGGTGTCTGAAAGGAGATTCGAAGCAGCCCACGGAGGCCGTGAGCAGGAGAGACAACGCAGCCACGAAAGGCCCAGCACAGCAAGGAAGGGGGAAATTGATACGGAGAAGTTTCCGCACAGGGAGGAGAGGAGACCTAAGGCAAGGAGAGCGTTCCGAAAAAAGGGAGAGAGCTGGATTCCGCCCATCCATTCCACTAACAGTGGTGCTTTCCTCCGGAGCAAGGAAACACCCATCCCCTCTCGCCAGAATGGATCCAAGGGCTTCCAGCCTGAAATGTGGTTGCCATTTGTAACTATAGTTCTGCAACCCAGTGCGGGCCCGTAGCCGGGATTTTGGGGCTTGTGTGGCAAACGTTTTGTTAGTCTCTAAGACAGAGGTGTCGAACTCATTTGTTACGAGGGCCGGATCTGACATAAACGAGACCTTGCTGGGCCGGGCCACGTGTGTCATAAAATGTAATGCCAGGTAGCGGAGATACAAACTTTACAAAGGACACAAACACAAAGGTGGGGTTTTTCCCCCCTTAAAATAAAAACAAGCTTAAAACATTAGCTCTGTAAGCTACAAACCTACTTTAGATGTCTTGACATCCACCACAGAAATCTCATGCTCAGAGTTCTGAGTCTGGGACCCAGGTTAAAAACATGAAATGGCTGAGGGATTAAGAATGTTTGGCGAAGCAAGCAATGATGCTGCAGCAGCAGCAGCAGAACTGGAAGCAGGAGGTGGCCGGTTCCACTGCGGGCCTGATGGAAGCCCTCCGGGGGCTTGATCCGGCCCCCGGGCCACATGTTTGACACCCCTGCTCTAAGGTGGTACTGGACTCTTGTTTTTTTCCACTGCTGCAGACAGACTGACACGGCTGCCCGTCTCGCTCTATCTGCAATATTTGTTTACCATCCTGCAGCAACTCTAATTCCTTCTGACAGATGGAGTCTTGCGTCTACAAAGCTCATACCTGAAAAATCTTGATGCCCTCTTAAGGTTTCCTGGATTCACATCTAGCTCAATCCTGCAGTTCTTTCTTGGGGAACCGCAAGGAACTACAGAGGGTGATGGAACACCCCCCCCCCCCCGGGGCTCTGTAGCATCTAAGATTTCTCCTGGCATTGCGCACACACGGCAACTTTATTTTTGGAGCCATGAGGACTAGAATCTTGCTGATTTAAAAAGCAGAGAGAGGTTCTCAGGAAGTTTAACTTCTGCAGGGCTATCTCACACGCGCAGCCCCAAGTAAGGCCTTACCCCCGACGGAAGCAATCTTTAATTTCAGACATCCAAGAATGTAGCTGCTGCTCATCTCCAGCCTCGAATATGACGTCTGTGGAGGTGTTCACCTGGGGAGGTGGAAAGAAGGGGCAGAATAAAATACATCAGGAGGGTAGCAATACTCTCCGCTGCAGCCAAAAGACCGACAGATCTTGCAAACGAAAGGTCTACCAGCCAATGCTCCCTCTAAGCTGTGGAGTCTTGTGAGCAAAAAGTCTACTTTGTGAGCTACGGGCATTAAAGTTGTGAGCTACTGCCTAAATTAGTTTGCTCTGGAGCCATCCTTCCTGAGCTAAGACAGAAATATGTGAGCCGGAGGCTAAAAAACTGTGAGCTAGCTCGCACCAACTCAGCTTAGAGGAAACACTGCAGTGCCAGCCAGACCCCACTTGGTTGGATTCGTGCAGTTAACGGACTCTTGACAGTGCGGAACCAAAACCAGGTGCTGCTGCGACTGAGTTCAAGAGTAGTTTATTCGGTATAAAACCAGCACAAATCAATTACAATCAGTTATTCGGTATAAAACCAGCACAAATCAATTACCATTACCTCAATAATGTCAATACAAAGAAAGGTACTAATAAAATATATAAAATATCAAATGTTTAAACTGTATTTAATAGTTACAAAATTGCTAAAACTCTACATTTCTACAATATTTGAGCAACTGTTGAATAACGACTGAGTTCAAATGATGCCCATCGGGACTGTCGGGGCACCAAGCGCCTGCCTTTAGCATTCTCCCAGAAGCCCCCAGGAGTTTGGGCTATTCTGCTTCGACAACAGAGCCCCTGTGGTTGGGATTCCGCCTCCAGACAGCAGCCGCCCAGACAATGTTGTTAGGAATGTCCATCCCTCCCTCCTTCCTGCATTGGTGGGGACCCACGAGGCACACGCGACCAAGTGCTGCCAGTCTTCTCCTTACCTTGAGCACAAAGGTGTGGATGTTATCGGGCATCTCCAAGCGAGTGCACCGTCGGATTTCCTGGGCGGCCGAGCAGACGGTCTGCAGCTTTGGCTTTGAAGACTGCAAGAAGAGGCAGAAGAAACTGCGGTGAGCCCGGAGTAGCGTCACCCCAGAGATTAGACAAGGACCCCCCCAGACTGTGCCAACAGGGCTCATGACCACCCGGCTGGAGTAGTTCGGGCCGGTAGCCGGGATTTTGTGGCTTGTGGGGCAAATCTTTTTCTGATGGGGCTGAAGTTCTCAGTGCAGAAAGAAAAGCCATTTAGCCAATAGAAAGCTGTGACCGGGATAGACCTCTAAACTGCAAGCTGTCAAACACTTGAGATGACAGTTCTCAACCAATGTTCCCTCTAAGTTGTGGAATCTTGTGAGCAAAAATTCTACTTTCTGAGCTACTGCCATTAAAGTTGCGAGTGAGCAATTTGGCTACTGCATAAATTAGTTGGCTCTGGAGCCATCATTCCTGAGCTGAGACAAAAACCTATGAGCTGGAGGCTAAAAAAACTGTGAGCTGGCTCACACTAACTCAGCTTAGAGGGAACACTGTTCTCAACCGCTGCAAGTTAATCACTTCTGCCAGCCTGAGCAACAATTCTGATAACAAGCCGACAGGTGGGGGCAACGACTTCTATAGGCAAGAAAGCCAACACTTGGGCAGAAAGACTCTTTTAAAGGAGACCAGTTTCTTGACATAGAAGGTATCCTAGAGGTCACCTACTCCAACCCCCTTGCTCAGAGTGGGAATTAGTCAACTACAGCGCCCCACTCTGCTTAAAGGAACACACACCTTTAAAAAATGTTTTAAAATGACTGAAAAAAAGCATTTACAGGAGAAATTCTTGTGGGGCTGTGCCTTTAAGAAAGAGGGCAGTGCTGCCCAAACCCTGCCATAGCTATGGTCCTGGGGCCTTCTAAGTCCAGCCCTTCAAGAGCAGCCAGGCGGATGCTTCCATGAAGGGCATGAAGGCGAGGACCGGCACCCGGCACTGAGAGGTATACTGCATCTGAACACGGAGGCTCTAGGCAGCTATCAGGGCAGCCAGTGATTGATGGATCTTTTCTTCATAACTTTGACCAACCATATAAAGCCATCCAAACTAATGACCACCACCACATTTGGGGCGGCGAGCTCTGTAACCAAATTACAAGAGGGGTTATTTTTTGGGGGGGGGGGATTATGTCTACCTTGTGCCTCACTGGGTGACCACATTTGACAAATATAAGAGGAGAAAGTTCCGCTTACTCTCTCCATAGGCCTGAGTTGTGATTTTGGTTTTTGTGTTTTTAGTGTATGTGTTTTATCTCCCTTGTCAGCTGCCTTGAGCTCCGTAATGAAGAAAGGCGGCTAATAAATGTTTTATATAAAATAAACAACCTGCTTGTTCAGTTTTCTACACAGGGCGAGCGGGCAAACCCTACGCCAAAGGATAAATGGACACAAATCTGACATCTAGAGTCACCTATAGATGAACATTTCAACCTCCCTGGGCACTCAATGGGGGACCTCAAAGTAGCTTTTTTACTGCAAAGGAATTTCAAAAACAGACTGGAACAGGAGATTACTGAATGGCAAGTTGTTATAACGCTCAGGATAGGGACAATGGAACCCCCAGGGCTTAACAGAGATATTGGGTTCTTATCTCACTAAGTCATTCAGTTCTCACATGTTTGTTAACTCTTTTATTATTATTGGTATGCTAATTTGCTGCTATTCACAGGTCTTCCCAAGTGCTTTAATCCAATTTTAGCTATATTTATCGCTCAGTTACTTCTACATCTTGACTCCATTTAGCTTTTCCTGGGGACCAACCCCTCCACACCCTCTTTCTACTTATATGTAATGGTTGGCGAAGTCAGTTTCAATGTATCTGAAGAAGTGTGACTGCACACCAAAGCTTATACCCCAGAATTAAACTTTGTTGGTCTTAAAGGTGCCTGATGGACTCGAACATTGTTCTGTCTGCTCGTTCATAAGCTTCCTTTCATGACCCTTCTTCGTCCCCCCCACCCCAAAGAAGCTTCAGCCTTTCCTCATAGGTAACGCTCCCCTCAGCCCATCTGGATGTTACCTTGTTTTTTTAAAAAATAAAAAAGCTCCCTTCTGCCAGAAAAAGCATTCTGCACATGCTCAGAGGCACTCCAATATGGCATTGCATTCCTGTCCCCCTCTCTCAACTGGCTACCTTCTCAAGATATTCTGAAGAAGAAGAAGAAGAAGAAGAAGAAGAAGAAGAAGAAGAAGAAGAAGGAAAAAGAAGAAGGGGACGGCAGAGGATGAGATGGGTAGACAGTATTTTCGATGCAACGAAGAAGAAGAAGAGAAGAGGAGATTGGATTTATACCCCACCCTTCACTACCCAAAGGAGTCTCAGGGTGGCTTATAAACTCCTTTCCCTTCCCCTCCCCACAACAGACACCCTGTGAGGTAGGTGGGGCCGAGAGAGCTCCGACAGAAACTGCTCTTTTTCAAGGACAGCTCTGACAGAACTATGGCTTGCCCAAGGTCATCCAGCGGGTGCAAGTGGAGTGGGGAATCAGACCTGGTTCTCCCAGAGTACAGTCCGCGCACTTAACCAAGACACCAAAGTGGCTCTCCAGTTTGGTGACACTACAGAGTGTTTGTACAACAAACAGACACTACAAACAGAGACACTGCAAGCAGATCCAGTCCTTAAATCTGCGCAGTCAAAACAAGCCGCAGATCATAAAAGTCTGCAGGGTTTCTAGGCATGTGTAGAGTGCCTTCACTTTGTGAAGAGGGAGCACCTTCTGGCACTCGTCTCCTCCCCAAGGAGGCTGAAGAAGCCTGGGCTGGTCTGCCTGGCAACCAGAGAGGCCGCCCCCCCCGCGAGCATGCAGTCTCGCCAAAGGCCCGCGTGTGCACATGCCGGTCTGGAAAGTGTCCACAGGTCTGCGTCACCCCAGGGCTGGCGACTGGGCAGCGGAGAGCGAGCGACGTTCCAGACAGACAGCAAGCCAACTGGCAACAACGGACTGGCAAGGTGGCACGCCCTGTGCCAAGGGGCAGGCCGCCAAAGGGCACCGGTTCCTTTGCCACGGTCACGGATCGGCTGTGTTAGTTCTCTTTCCCGGTGCGCCGGCCACGGTGGGGAGTACCCAGACCTCCCGGCTGCAGCTCCGGGTTCCCGTGACCACCCCCCTCCACCAGCTCCCTTTTCTGCTCCTCCAAAGGAACTCAGATGAAGAAGTTGGCCTCCACTCCCCGCCCCCGTTCTCAGCCACCGTGCCAGGAAAGAGAGCAGCCCGTTGGCACGGGGCAGCCCTTGCGCAGCCGTAAAGTTAGGAGGCTGATTAAATCCTGGGTTTGGATCCAGGGAAACGGGGACTGGGGAAGGAATGAGGGTCCCCCGCTTTGCCCGGCGGGAGAAATAAGAACCGGCCCTGACTTCCGGACGGAGCTCTCTGAGGCCAGCCGCCTCCGCCCCCCTCCCCGCTGGTTTCTGCACACCATCACAGTTTCCCCTGGCCGGGATCCTGGCTCGGAAAAGTACATGGCTTCCATCCGTCCTCGCTGGCCCAGGTTGAAAAACCTCCCCGATTCCAGCTGCCTCCGCGCTCCCGGCCCTGGCCTGTTCCGGCTGGTCTCTCCAGACCGACGAGTTTGTCAGTGTTCCCTCTAAGCTGAGTCAGTGTGAGCTAACTCAGTTTTTTAGCTTCTGGCCCACACATTTTTGTCTTGGCTCAGGAAGGAGGGCTCCAGAGCAGACTAATTTATGCAGCAGCCAAATCGCTCGCTCACAACTTTAATGCCAGTGGCTCACTGCTTACCAAGTAGACTTTTGCTCACAGGACTCCATAGCTTCGAAGGAGCATTGGTCAGGGTAGGCACTGTGGTGGTGGTGGGGGGGGGGAGGCATCGATTTCTCCCCATCTGCTTCCAACCACAATCCCATGTGTTCCCCTCCCTCTAGCCAACACATGGGTCCCAAATGCTGAAAGATGAATAGGGTTGTGAATCATCCACGCTAAAAAAACACCGAATGTCATACTTTAGAAAACAACAACAGAGCAAGCGAATTCTGCAAGCGAAACTGAGCAGATGCAGGCATCTCCCTTATACAGAGTCAAGCCATTGGCCCATCAAGGTTAGAACTTTAGTTGTTGTGGGTTTTCTGGGCTGTATGGCCGCAGTCATCAAACATCAACAACCTCAGATATGCAGACGATACCACTCTAATGGCAGAAAGTGAAGAGGACCTCAAGAGCCTCTTGCTCAGAGTGAAAGAGGAGAGTGCAAAAGTGGGCTTGAAACTCAACATCAGAAAAACTAAGATCATGGTATCCGGCCCCATCACTCCTTAGCAAACAGAAGGGGAAGTCGTGGAAACGGTGACAGAATTCACGTTCCTGGGATCCAAGATCACTGCAGATGGTGACTGCAGCCCTGAAATTAAAAGACGCCTGCTCCTTGGGAGGAAAGCGATGGCAAACCGAGACAGCATAGTAAAAAGTAGAGAAATCACCCTGCCAACCAAAGTCCACATAGTCAAAGCGATGGTACTCCCAGTAGTACTGTATGGCTGTGAGAGTTGGACCATAAGGAAGGCCGAGCGCCGGAGAATAGATGCTTTTGAATTAGAAGAAGAAGAAGAGGAGATTGGATTTATACCCCGCCCTTCACTACCCAAGGGAGTCTCAGAGCAGCTTACAATCTCCCTTCCCCTCCCCACAACAGACACCCTGTGAGGTAGGTGGGGCTGAGAGAGTTCTGACAGAAACTGCTCTTTTTCAAGAAAAGCTCTGACAGAACTATGGCTTGCCCAAGGTCATCCAGCAGGTGCAAGTGGAGGAGTGGGGAATCAAACCCAGTTCTCCCAGATTAGAGTCCGCTCACTTAACCACTACACCCAACTGGCTCTCATGGTGTAGTGCTGGAGAAGACTCGTGAGAGTCCCCTGGACTGCCAGGAGATCGAATCAGTCAATCCTCAAAGAAATCAACCCTGACTGTTCCCTGGAAAGCCAGATACCGAAGCTGAAGCTCCAATACTTTGGCCACCCAATGTGAAGGGAGCACTCACTGGAGAAGAAGACCCTGAT